AGGTAAAGGAAAGCATGATTCCTTTCTAGATGCGGCAGCCGCTTCCTGAGCTGCATAGGCCGCGTGTGACTTGGGCTGTGAAACCGAGACATGGTCCTGGTCCAATACTCCCCCGCAAGGTGATACGTGAAGATTTCGAACGTTCAGCTTGGAGAGTAGGAAGTGAAAGCGGTCAGCACCAAGGCCTTTGGTGAGGATGTCAGCGAGCTGGAGTTCACCCCGGACTTTGACAGGAAGAACATCTCCTGACTGCACACGCTCACGCACGAAGTAACAATCCATTTCCACGTGCTTTGTGCGCTCATGGAATACAGGATTGTTGGCGATGTGAAGTGCCGCCTGATTATCGCAATGAAGTGGTGTAGGAAAAGTTTGTGGAACGCCAAGCTCTTGAAGTAACCAGCGAAGCCAGAGTAGCTCACTCACCGTGCTAGCCATTGCACGATACTCAGCCTCTGCAGATGAACGAGCTACAACACGCTGCTTCTTTGTGCGCCATGAAATGGGTGCGCCACCAAGGCTGATGAAGTAACCTGTGGTAGAGCGGCGAGTCTGTTCACAACCACCCCATTCTGCATCACAATAGACTGTCAGGCGTAAGGGATTATCTTTAGGGAAAAATAAACCCTGACCTGGTGCCAACTTAAGGTATCTGAGGATGCGGAAAACCGCATCAAGATGCTGCTGAGTGGGAGCATGCACGAACTGACTGAGGAGATTTACTGCATAGGTAATGTCGGGTCGTGTGATGGTCAAGTAGAGAAGACGACCCACTAGACGACGATAAACTGCCGGATCAGGCAGAGGATCAGAGCTCACTCGAGTCAAGTGATGGTTCTGCTCAATAGGGAAGGCACTGGGACGAGCACCTTGCACTCCAGCATCCTCAAGAATGTCGAGAACATATTTCCGCTGAGAAAGAACCACCCCTGCAGCAGTGCGTGCTAACTCAATCCCTAGGAAGTAGCGAAGGAGGCCAAGATCTTTGATGCTGAAACGCTCATCAAGAAACTGCTTGACACGCCCAATGAAATCGAGATCATTCCCCGCGAGAATGACATCATCAACATAAATCAAGGCTGTCACATAAGTAGTGCCGTGATGATAGATAAAAAGGGAGGCATCGGCAGGCGAAGAACGAAAACCAAAATCACACAGTGCTGACGTGAATTTTTGGTACCAGTTACGTGACGCCTGACGAAGTCCGTAGATGGACTTGTGAAGGCGGCAAACTCGTGTATCTCCGGGTTTGCGAAAATCTTCTGGAATCTCCATATAAACCTCCTCCTCAGGATCCCCATGGAGAAAGGCATTATTGACGTCAAGTTGATGTAGATGCCAACCTCGACTAACCGCAACGGCAATGAGACAACGCACCGTGACCAGCTTTGCCACAGGAGCAAAGGTATCATGAAAGTCCAGGCCCTCTATCTGAGTATAGCCTTTAGCTACAAGACGAGCTTTGTAGCGCTCAATGGTACCATCGGGAAGGAACTTGATTTTGTAAACCCATTTGCACGAAATAGTACGCTTTCCTGGAGGAAGAAAGACAAGACTCCAGGTGCCATTTTTCTCAAGTGCATCAACCTCCCGAGACATGGCCTCTCGCCAACACGCTTCACGAACCGCTTGGTAGAAGAAACGAGGCTCATCGTAGAGAGCCTGGGCTGCAAGAAAAGAGCGGTAAGTGCCTTTAAAGCCAGAATAATCAACGTAAGCAGCAATAGGATATCGAGTAAAATTGGAGGTGCTTCCCTGTCCATTTGCGCCAGGGAATTGAGTGACATAATTTTCCAGGTGCTTGGGCCGAGAGCGGACTCGATCGCTCATGCGTATGACAAGCGGAGCAGGGGAGGCCGGTTGTGCCGAGCTGGTCACTGGGCCAGGGGAGGAGTGGAGCGGCCCAGGACTGACAGGTGGCGAGCTGGGCTCGTCGGGCGCAGTGGGCTCAATAGGCGGCCCAAGTGAGGAAGGTTCAGCTGCTGTAGTGGGCCCAGGAGCAACTCCGGAGCCTGCTTCCTGTGGAGTGGACTCGCCTACTGGCCCAGGTATGGGGGAATCATCACCAGAGTCACTCGCAGGTTGAGCAATTGGTCGGGGGATCCAATGAAGCTGCTGGCGCATTCCATCCTGCATGGGAAATATTCCCTCATGAAACTGCACATCACGAGAGGTTAGTACGCGACGTGATGACAAATCAAAAATACGGTATCCCTTCTGAGTGGCAGCATAGCCCAAGAATACTCCTGCACGTCCGCGCTCTGCAAATTTATCAAGGTGAGCATGGGTATCTTTATAATACACTAAGCATCCAAAGACACGTAGGTGATGATAAGGTGCAACTCTCCCAAAAAGCATTTTGTGCGGACTTTTGCCTGTGGCTTTGGTTGGGAGCCTGTTGATGAGATAAACTGTTGTGAGTACACACTCTCCCCAAAAACGGACCGGCAAACTGGCCTCAAAGCGCAGAGCTCGCGCTGTTTCAAGGATGTGACGGTGCTTCCTCTCGACTACACCATTTTGCTGCGGTGTATCGGTGCAAGAGGTCTGAAGGAGTATACCCTCGCGTGTATAATAATCTCGAAGCTCATCCGTGCTGAACTCATGCCCATTATCTGCTTGAATTCGTTTGACAGAACAACCAAACTGTGTACGAACCATGTGACAGAATTGCAACAAGGATCTACCAACATCTGACTTATATCGCAAGAGATAAACCCAAACACCACGAATGTAATCATCAACAATCGTCAGAAAATAATGTGCACCACTGAGAGATGCAACTTTATATCCTCCCCAGATATCAACATGAATAAGTTCAAACTTTGACGTTGTCTTAATAGTACTTGATGAAAAAGGTTCTCGAGTCTGCTTGGCCCTTGAACAAGAGTGACACGGGCCATTATTACTGAAAGACATACCCAATAATGAACTAAATGAGGAAAGTTTGTCAAAAGAAGGATGCCCTAAACGAGCATCCCATGTAGCTTCTGAGACAGAGGACCGTCGCTGCGCTGCACAAGCTCGCGTTCGTCCAGCTCCAAACAAACGCAAGTAGTACAATCCGTCACGCAGCTCACCCTTCCCAATCAACTTCCTGGAATGTAAGTCCTGAATGACGCAGAAATTTTCAAGGAAAATCAAAGCCACACGATTATCCTTTGTTAGTCGACTCACAGAAATGAGATTACATCGAAATTCAGGCACATGAAGTACTCGCCCCAGGGTAAGCCCCTCCTGAAGCTTAACTGAACCCACATGCTTGACCGGAATACTATCTCCATTGGGAATTCTAACTGGCTGCCCATTGACATGCAATTCTTTACTAGACAACATCGATTCATCCATAATTATATGTTCATTGCAGCCTGAATCCAATAACCATTCAGAATCGTAAGAAACCATACCTGCCATGTGTGCCGCAGGATCCTCTGCTGGTTTTCCTGAATGCCCAAAGAATTGTTTGAGTTGGTCCAGTTGTGCAATCGTAAATCCAGAGACAGGACTAGCTTCTACATCCACTTGCGAGGCCTTGGGCTCGCGTTGCCCACTCTCACCTGACCCACGATTGCGCCGTCGTTGAGGTCTGTCTCCTTGGCGCTCTCGTGTGAAATATCCAGGTGGGTATCCTATCAACTCGTAACAAGCTTCTCGGAGGTGCCCCAGGCGCTGGCAGTGAGTGCAGCGAGGCCTTTCTTTCTGCTCCCCCGTGCCTCGCTGATCTCCAGACCCACGCTGCCCTTTATCCTGTTCTCCCTTCGCCGCAAAAACCGCGGCTTCTGATGGATTCTTCCGATTCTGGGTGATGTTTTCTGGGATTCTTCATTAAGAATCATGCGAAATGCCTCGGTCAGACTAGGGACAGGCCGCATAGCAAGGATTTGGGTGCGCACAGCTGCAAACGCATCATCTAATCCCATTAGGAAGTCAAATAATCTGTTGCTATCCTGCTGTTCACGAGCTCTCTTGGACACGCCACAGATACACAGGCCGCAAGTGCATATTGGCGGCGGAGTGATGGCTGCAGCTTCTTCGCAAAAGGACCGTCCTTTTGCAGGCTCGTATAGAATGCCGAAACCGTGTGTTTCTCCTGCTGGAGGAGGCTTATCAAACGCCTCAACTCATACGCGCGGGAGGCACTTCCTTGGCCGAAACGCTCGCGGAGGTCAGCCCATATCTCCGTGGCATGCTCGGCGAACCGAATACTTCCTCGAATTTCCTTGTCCATTGACGTCTTTAACCATCCTTTAACCATCACGTCACAGCGTACCCAGGCTGCTAGCTCCCTGGGATCATTCGGTTTGGGGATGGTTCCATCGACGAAACCGTATTTGTCCTTTGCAATAAGGGCGTCTTTCATGTCGAGTGACCATTCGCCATAATTAGACGCTGTGAGAATCTCACCGACAAGCATACTGCCGGGACTATCGGAGTTGTGCAGCTGAAGCGCCGACGGAAGTTCATCGTCGGGATTGCTGTAGAGACTCCTTTATTCTTGCTGTCCTCACCGCCGTTAACCATGGCTGACGCAAAGACTGGTGAAACCTGAAGAGCCTACCGCTCTGATACCATGTGAAATTGGAACGAAATTGTAGAAGACGCTTTATTTAACGTGGTTCTTCCTCACGTTAGTGAAGCTTACGTCCACGGCAGAAGATGGTGTTTTTGTTATTTCGTGGTGGTGGCCGAAGGCCATACAGGGGTATTTATATGCCCTAATACATCATGATCATCTAGGGCATAGGATGGATTACAATTACGTGAAGGTAAAGGAAAGCATGATTCCTTTCTAGATGCGGCAGCCGCTTCCTGAGCTGCATAGGCCGCGTGTGACTTGGGCTGTGAAACCGAGACATGGTCCTGGTCCAATAAGTATCAGTCAAGCAAGTTGATCCCAAATCCCTTTTCCTAGATATGGTCATGAGTTAAGACTTAAGACTCTGGAATTGGAGGAAAGTAACAAATCCGAGTGGGCATGGAATGATAAAAAGGTCGGGATCTCAGGATCTGGCAATGCTAAAAATGGAATGGCGCCAGGAGAGTACGCAGTAGCAGCAGGACCTTACCCACAAAAAGCCTGCAACAATTAATGCAAAAGAGCAAATGGCACAGCGGCTGGCATTTTCTGTTCTTGTAGTGAGTGGGGCGATTCATTCCTGTCAACATATTATTATGCACTGTCCAAAACCGCACAGGCAGATACCATGTGAGGAAAGAACCGACGGTCACATACATATATACCTGTTTGTTTCTTCCTCAATTATTTGTCTTGGGAGCATTAAATTTCAAAAGGGCATTACCTAATTGTGGCTGGATGCCCCATCGCCTTTTCTCTTCATATCGAAGCATGCATATGGGGGAATCGAGGGACCGACCTCTGTCCCATCTGGTAGCCATAGATCTCACTGGTCTGGCCCTGCAGTAAAATCCAAAAGGAAATGGCAAAAAAAGAGCAACAATCCCCTCTTTGGTACACATCCATCATGCATGTATGCATGTAAAGATAGTTAGGCATCCCACCAATAATTCGAGGACAGTAAAATTCTTCACTGCATCTGTGGTCAGGGTTCCTGGGTGTAAATTCATCTCGTATCAGATGAAATGAATCTTAGCTACGTAGCTACAAAGATGAAAGAAAATTCACAGCCCCCACTCTGGCCCAGCTTTTGCCAACAAACAGGGTGAGTTATCAATCAACATCATGAAGAAAAAAGGAACATGAAGAATCCAAGGTAACTAGACAGAAATTTAAAATTAATTATTTGTCACGGAAATAAAATTTCCAATCATAAATCGAACATATTCATTTTTGGGGGGTCTTAAAACAAGTTCTTAGAGAAGCAACCAAAATAGCACAAAGAAAAAAGTCTACTGAAATGAAAATTGTCTCACACCCACCGTACAAAGAATCTAATGTAACTAGACAAAAGCTGACAAGTATTTGACATTGGATAGTTAACATCAAAGGTAAGATTTACCAAGAGAGAGATCAGTTCGTGCCTCTGCAATGGTGTCTTTCTTTGATCGTAACTTAGTAAGGATGGCTCCACCTAAAAGATTGTTCAGTGCAAATTCATAGCCTCCACCTATATGTAATGTGTCTCACAGAGAGAAGAGGGAGATGTAGGTGCAGTTACAATTACAGTTACTGGAGGCACTTACAGTTACAGTTCGTGCCTCTCCAATGAGCAGTCTTACCATAGGCGGCTTCCTGTTCCTGTCACTGGAGGCACTTACAGCGAGCATACTATAAAGCAACTCTGAGGACAAGAGTTGCAGGTAAGGGGGAAAAAGAAGAGGATTATGAAATGTAAGAACCAGTTAAGTATTATCAATAGCAACTACAAGCTCTCATATCTGTTCCCTTGCAACACAAGACCAAGTGCTCCATAAGAAAGGGTTGGTTCCCATATCAAAGTTCAGCATAACTAGAAATGGTTGCAAGTAACTGAGGGCTACAGCAGGGGATGCATCCTAAGGACGACTCATCTCACCAGTCACCACCAAGATCGTTGCACAACACTTCTTTCGAATTCTGGTAGAGACCATATCTTAATCTTTTAGCTGATACTCAGGCTTCTTACCAAGATGACAACATGGAATAAATCCAGAACTTGTACATTGAAAAATGTTTGATAACACCATGCATAATAATTAATAAGACACCAGACAGTTAGCAGAAAGAGTGCAGAGATGAAAGTGATTTAGTCCAGTATCATTGTATAGGGACTTATTTGACTAGTACAAATAAGGAATGGATGAAACGCAAGAGATCAAATTAACAAATTAAAAGGAAAACATATAACTTAAAGACCCTGGAAGAGAGGAGACTCAAATCGTCCCACATTAACTTATGTTGCTTCTTGTAACCTGGGTCGTTTCTAACAAATGTCATCAATGGTTGATCGCAGAATTGAAGCACTAAGATATTGTAATCCAGCTTAGCTGCAAACATACCCTTGGGAGTGATGACCAAGAAAGACAAATCCAATGTCGAAACATCATGTTCCGCGAACATAAGCACGGAGTTTAATCTTTTGAAACCCGTACTACCAACCCAGTTGGCGTGCAAAGAGTTTTGAGGTGCCCTGAGCCAATCAGATCTCGGAGGTGAAATCGAATGTCGAGTGGGGACAATCGAAGACGCTTCTTTTCCAAAGGGGCTAACATCATCTCCTTATATCTCCTACGTTTTAGAAGAGATAGCAGCTCCTTCCTTCCCTGAATAAAACAGTTGAGAACAAAGGAGTACAGCAACTTCTGCCAATGACTAACTTCAGGAAATGAACTAATAAATAGTACTTTACCTGAGAAAGTCCCTTCAGTATTGAACCAATATTTGGAATTGCAAACCAATACATGTTTGGGTCAATCAGTTGGCGAGTCTGCAAAACAAACATCACTGTTAAATATTTCACACAGAGAAATAAGCAAGCATTACAGGAACCCTTCTTTCCCTGTCTTTTCCTCTTTGTTTTCAGGGAAGAATATGTAGTGCATTTCTACTGTCAAACTTCAACGAAAAATACCGCTCAAGGGCTCCGATACACACAAAACACACAAACATAAGCAAACATTCAGAAGCCATTATCTATTACTATCACCAGATTCACCAAAATATTTAGAACATAAACCTTCAGTTCAATTTTAGTTGGATAATAATAATTCAGCTTGGCAAAGATACTATTCCTACAATCCGAATACCCATCAAATTCTGTCATATGGAAGTGGTCAAGTGGACAACAAAGCACATGCACATCCCACTCAGCAACAGCATCTAGATATCATCAAGCACTTGGTAAAAACCCGAGTTCCAACTCAAGTAACACAGCCAAGTTCATGACCAAGCACATCACTCACAGAAAATTGCTCATATCACACCCATTAATTGACAGTCCAATTAAAAAACAAAGTTTATTGTGCACCACATACTAGGAGAAGCTGTCAGCTGATACCACTCCTTTGACAATACTGGTGACTGGTTTCAAACTGTCAATAAGGAAATGAACTTCAGAGGAATGTACCATGAAAACCCTAGAAATCCAAACTCCGTTAGAATAGAACCTTCCACATGCATTATCCTTAACAGTGAAATTTTCTGGATGAGAAGAATCAGGAGTTTTAATTCCATCTAGAAGACACACTTCCTAACACCAGGTGAAATAACCCACATGCAAATCAATTACTTGGTCCAGCAGATTAATGGGGAGCACAGAGGGATAGACAGGAAGGGATAAAGGGCAAAGTATCCTTAACATCCTATTTGTAATAGAGAATAAGCATATGACAAAAAGAGGATACGTGCAACAATATACAGATAAATTGGTATTAATGGTACAGCCATACATCTTACCAGAAGGCCAGCGTTGATTAGAAGTGAAATGTGTTCATCCTTCACCTTTCCACCATTAGATAGGAGTAAGCACTGCAATGGAAGGAGCAAAACAGTGAAGAACGATCCCTTATGCTAAGCATACCAAATGCTACTAGACAAACCAAATTTCTATAGATTGGACTGAAGACAAAAATGTTGTTGCATTTGGCTGACAGGTTCATCTTTTTCTTTAGTGCTAAATGCCAAGACATGCACGAGAACAGGAAACAGTGAGCTGCGGATGTATTGAGTAAATCTCTTACAGCGCCACTAGGCAGGAACATAATATGTTCCCTTTGTGAACTTCAAGCAGAACAGTAGTTTGGAATTCGCCTTTCCATGTTGATCTTGCGATCATTAAGCATCAATTCGTTCATATTTCCTGAGCTATCAAGTCAGCTGTAAATGACACATATAATAGTGCAAGCGGTACTAACTACTACTTATTACATATATTTATGTGCAACAATGGCTGCTCGAAAAAACACAATATAACCATTCAAATGGTTGGATATGAATAGTTTATCCATGGATTATCCAGTAAGAACGTCAAAACCCATGTGTTTTTTAAGGCAAGTACGAAATAACGGTTACAAATAACATGTGCTATTTAGTAGTTACATAATATGGCTGCTCAATATATCAAGAAGTAATTTTGTTGCTTTCGTTAAATGTCAATTTGTCAGTCATGTATGACAATTGTAGTCTACTGAACAAGTGGAGCTTCAGTTAATTAATAGTTATAAAGTACAAACACAGGCTTTAGTAATGTTGAGAGTACTCACAAGCTCTTGATGGTCAATACTAGGTTCCAACTTGCAATCAATAACATATTTCTTAAACCACTCAAGAACTTCAGTGTCACTTTTCTTGTTTTCTTCTAGCCTTTTTGTAACACGTTCTATCTGCATGGAGCGATTAAAAGATACATGTTGTCATTCATTGTTCTGGTTCTATAATCCTCTGTCATGATGTTTATCATACAATGCAAACCAATAACCCTGAAATTGGATAAACTCGAGAACATAACCACAAAACCCACATCAAGAAAGGAACATAGTTTCAGCAACCGTCAATGACAATGAAACGAAAGGCTTATACCAAACAGATGTGACATAATTCGAACTCCTTGAACATAGGATGCAAAAAGAAAAGGGAAAAAAGAAAAACCTGATTTAGATAGTCTTCCAAAAACATAATAGCATGATCATCTTGCCCAGTGTTGAGTTTAAAAATTCTCAACATGTTTTCCCTCTTCAAAGTCTGCAAAGACAATTTCATCAAAAAAAAAAGTCTGCAGAGACAAAAGGTGAATACAAGAACTAGTTGACAATCAATCGTGAGATACCAAACAGAGCGACAGCTAGCATAGTTGCATTTGTGCATTTGTGTGAAATGTGTCTATTCCGTAACAGTTATCTACATCGATGCCTCCTCATACTATGATAGATAAAGCTCATCATCAAGAGGCAATCACTAACCATAAGTTGTCACATTGAGCAAGAATTAATTTAAGCATGATAATGGACAACGCAACTTCTCGAAATTCGTTTCGTACGTTACTTTTACAAGCATCATGACTGCAATTCTAAGTTCAATAAGATGTGGAGCATCACAGAAAGTGGGAACCGTACCTCTAGTTCTCTGTCTACTTGCGTTCTATCCTTTACGCTACTGTATAATTGCGAGCGCAAAACGAAAGGCTCAATCGCAACCTAGAAATTGCGAAATCCAAAACATGTATACTCGTTAGCAGGGTTCACCGCGATAATAAGCGCCACAATTCGATCAGAGCCAGCTCCGAGAGCGGACCTTGTCAATGCGAGGGAACTGAGCTCGCATGATACGAAGCGCGACCAACGTATCACTAAACATAAGGCTGTCTTCTTTGCTTGGCCCAGAAAGAGTAACAGAACCACAGGATTCAGAGGAAACATCAGTGCTTCCGATACAAACACAGGGGAAATGAAATACGAACTCAAACGGCACTTACCGAGTGACGGAGCTTCATCGGCGTCGCCAGCAGCCTCGGTCTTCTCTTCTTCTTCGTCCGCTTCATCTCGCCGACGCTTTCTACTTCCGGACGACTCAGACTTATCTCCCATCGGTCTGCGTATCTGGCGAGCCGCAAATTTGAACGTTTGGAGGTTGGAACGACGTGGGAAATCGGGAATTGAATGACCAAATCAAGTAATACTCCTCTGCAGAAACTGAACGCAATTACGCAAACGGGATAATTTGCTTTTGGGCCTCTCTACCAAAGTCTCCTTGAACTTTATTTTTACCAAATACACCCCTCAACAAGTTGCAATTTATCAACCATGTCCTTCCCTTTTTCCGTTATACAACCCTTACATGTATTTTTTTTTTCAGAAATAAACCTTCGTTGACCATCAAAAGTCAACGAAAATGTCATTCACTTAACGACGAATGGTAATGCAGTCAAAATCGTAATTTTATTTAGAACTGTTTAAGTGAACTACAAGCATAAAAACGTAAGTTTTTTAAATTTTAAAGCGTAGATGTTGACTACACTTACAAGAAAATTTTTGATGACCATGAAGTATAAAAGCATTTTTTAAGCTATAAACCATTTTTTTAAGCTATAAACCGTGGTCTTACCAAGAAACTATACGAGGGGCCCCTTAACCAAAATTTTGACTCAGATCACACAAATATACTGAATTGCTATTTGTCGTTCTAGAATTCAAATTTTATCGCCCTAAAATGCAACAAATTAACATATTTACCCCTAAATCCAATTTTAATTCTAAATCCTAACCAAACAATTCCTTCCTCACCCCCAAACCAAATCCGCAGCCGCTCAAATCGAAGAAGGCAGTGTCGCTTGCTCCTCCTCCGTTGCCTCTGCGAGCCTGGCTGTCTACCCTGCTGTTTATTCGTCTCTAATCCCAAAAGCTGCATAGAATTTGCAGCATTTTCAGTCAAAACACAATTCGTCCAAGGAATTCTTCTGCTCTGTAATTTTCCATGCGTTTCTAGAACAACCCTTCTTCAAAGTTCATTTATTGATTTATAGCACGTAATCTCATTGTCTGGTTCACATGAACAATTATTCTACAGAGCAACAAAAATACTACTTAGCCTACGTTTCAGATTTCTCTCCTTTGCATAACATTACTACTTAGACTACAATGAAGAAGACGAAAATTCTTGTTACGACATTGACGGCAAGAACCCTAATTCATTATATTAATCTCTCTTCCACCCTTTGGCTTTATCCATTGAAACTCAAACGATCATCACGCAAATGGCCTCCCCTGCTCCGACGTCCCCTGACCTGTCCTATAGCTGGCCGGCGACAGGTTTTCAACCCGTCCGGCTCTGTGGGAAGACGGGCAGCCCGTGGAGAAATGGGGCGGGTGTTCCGCTGCGGCTACAATAATAAGTTTGTTTTTTATCCCTAGAAGCTGAAACTGCTGCTTCCCTTCGAACCCTTTCACAACTCCGACACCGCAGATCGGCAAGGTGAGATGCGAGAGGTCTTCCAGCCAAAATATTTGTTTTTTGTTTTTTAATTAATGTAATAATGAGGTGGAAAATGTAAAAGATTATTTTTTTTATTTTTAATAATTTTTTAATTGCCACGTCACATATTTAACGGTCAACTATGAAAGTTGACTGCCACGTAAGCTAGAGTTAACGGAAATGGACGGAGAGTGACCAAACTTTAACCATTTAAATAATTTGAGTGACCAAGATTGGATTTAAATATTTCCAGTGATCAAACGTGAACGTATTTTATAATCTCAGTGACCTACCATGCAATTAACCCCAAATATAGCTTTCTCCATTTATAGTGTGATTCTTCAAACTGCAAGTGCTAAGCGAAATGGTTGATTTGTCTCGGCTTTTCGTAAATGAACGTCAAGAGAACTACTGCTTGGTTGATCGACTAGATTATATGCCCACGCAGATGCTTGAGGGCTGTTACAAAGCTCAGAAATAAGAGAATTCCACCACCAATTGATAAATAAACGTTGCTTGGGTGAAGCTTCTATAAGTATGGTAATTCTCAAAGTATAGAGGAGTCGACGCTACAAAATTTTCCAGTAAATGTGTCCCCTAATAACGTACTCTCAAACATACACCTTACTCAAACTATGTCCTGGATTGTAAGATTTCAGAACAATCTAACCTCCTTTCTACCAGGAATCATGCAGATTTCACCTTGGATGATGTCGACGCTAGGTGGGAAAGAGTTCTGTGTCCGACAAACAGCAGGAACACTCCCAAGAACCCAAGTATTTTCAGCGTCGTGAACAGATCCAACTGTGCACCAGGAAGAAGAGCAAAATCAGATCAAATTAGATGAGCTCATTTGGCGGAGTATCAGGCAGCAAACAAAAATGAAAGGACGGAATCTGAAAGCTAACCTTCAGCCAGAAGAAAACATAGAGCAAAAGAACAGATCCGATGCCCACATGGAAAAGTGCAGCAAATGCGGCAGGTGCCGCCGCAGAAGGGAAATTCTTCAGGTTTACTCCCAAACGTAAAAGCTGCAAAAGAGAATAGTCAAGTTGATCAGGATCCCTTGTAAAAGTACCATCTGGCACCTGGCTAACCGGACATCAGCTTAAAGGGAAATGATCAACCAGAACCACAGTGAAGTTGAAGATGTGCATGCATGGATGCCATGCCACATATCCATATCAACTTCCCACAACCTAGATATCTCCACATTGTTGTGGCTTGCTCTTCAAGTCGAGGGATAAACCAAAAGTTCAATTCTATGCCTAAAACCTACCAATCTAGAGAAAACATCAATTATTTCCTAACCTTCACTTCGTTCTCTGTTTTCAAAGCTAAATACTTGCTTTGTAATATCATTTATTATTGTCCTTCCTAAGTCCACGGTGAAATGAAAATTCTCATGAGTATTGCCAACTGTAATAAATTCAGAACTCACCCCAATTATGAACCCCAAGAGAGGCAAAACTGTGAGTCCTAAGAAAGCCAAAGAGAGCTCTTGAGGAGGACGCTTTTCTGGAGCTCTAAATATATGGGCTATCTCAGCTTTAGGTCCATATCTTGAGTATGCATCAGCAGGCTGCACAGGAGGTCGGGGTGCCTTCTCGGGTGCTTCCGGTAGATCAAGGTCAAGATGTCCAATAACTCTAAAGAAGGAGTTCTCCTGATAAGGCAATGAAAACGAGTATGTTATGCTTACAAGGTGAAGTAGGGGAAGTCAACTCACTGCAACGTAAACAAATAGTAAAAGCAAAGCGTAGGTTGTCCTTTTCTTATGAATAAAAGCAAAAAGCCAAAAGAAAAATGGAAGCTTACCATGACAGCATCTCCAACAGTGAGCTGAATTTCATATTTACCAGATAGATAGTAAAATTTATCCACGAGTCCAAGGAAATCCTACAATAAAACAAATAGGTAAATAAATGGCACAGGATAATGGGTACTCAGATTATCTACTTATCACCCGTCTCCACAAGAAATCATTACCCAAATCATACTTCAGTAGCACAACTCGTCTATATCTGTTTACAATGAAAACTTGGCATAGCCAGTCATCCATAGCTATTGAAGATGCTGAAAAAATTCCATATAGTTCGACATAAAGAGCTTGTTCATTTCTGCCCCTGGTACATCTAGGTCATCTCAGGTTCTGAAGCTAATTAAACATGTGATTAAATTGTTACCCATCAACCTTTAAGTTCCAGTTCAAAAGTTCTCCATAGCAAATGAGTTGGCTGTCTCATATCCTGTAGCTTCCATTTTATCACCACCAAACTATTTTACTATTCAGTTCCCCAGCTAGGTAAGTTTGTGTTCGAAAAATTATTGAAGAGAAATCGCAAACCAAACACAAGAAGCGAGTGGTAACAGAAAATTAAACAAAGAGAATGTGAACTAAGGAATCTAACCAGAACTATCTCAAACTGCTTGCCAGTGTTTCCAACCACAAAGACATGATCCACCTTGCTCTCGTGAGTCAGCTTCAAAATTGCCTGAAAACCAATAAAACTTAGGAAGAAATCTTACAAAATTCCAACCAAACTAGACAACAGATTAGTCACAAACCTGATGTGGCTTGAAAGGATGGCCAAGGGGGGTAGTCAATTGAAAACGCAGCTTCAACTTCTGGAGATGATTAGCTCCCAACGACACAAGATTCTCTCCAGCAAAATCCAGACTGGAAATTTCAGAAATTCAAATTAAATAGTTGACAGAATTGTTGCTAGTAGTTTTAAATACTACAGAAATTCAGAAGTCAATGTCACAAGCCATGCTGTTCTGGCTCCATCATGACAGCTACTGCCACTGAGAAAGTTGCTATACTTTACGGTAGGAAGACTGAACCTAGGTGTTCATGGTAAGAGGAAACATACTTCTGCGTTTCAATGCTCCCAAGATCACTATCAAGAACTGCAATCTTTGCATTTCCAACTTTAACAGCTCCAGTTAAGAAAATCGGAACCTCAGTTTTACTTTCCACAGCATAAGCTTTCTTATGCTCCGGATCATTAAACACAATCTACAAAAAAGAATACTTGTGTTAGTTAATGAATGAAGGGACAGATAAAGAACATTGATGCGCCAAAAAAGCATATGGATACCTCGAAAACAAAAATGTAATTGCCCACATCAACACTTTTTTCCAAAGTGTCCAACACATGCACCTTGTTCGCGGAATCAAACTTGAGCTCCTATAAAATAAAAACTTCATCAGTTAATCCTTCCGAAAAAGCACACCAAGGAGATTCAAGGAATTATGATCAACCCTTGTCAGATAATAATTGAAGTGAACAACCTATATAGTTAAGCTAGATTTTGAGCCCAGGAGTTATTGAAGGAAATAAGGTTGATTCAGGGCAGCACCTGGCTTTCAATTGCAGGAGTATCTTTAGCTCTTACAAGCTTTATCTTCAGAGGAGGTGCATCAGAACCAAGTACAGTACTGACCTTAACCTGATACATCATACATCCATGGAACAGATTACAAACAGCCGCTTTATTACTACATGAGTTCAAAAGGCTCCAGAAAGAGAAAATATCATTATTTTGATACCTCGATCTTATTTAGAGAAGACTGAAGAGTATTAAATAAAACATATATAGTTGCTTATCTATGCACATCTTTTTCATGGAAGAACCAAGGAAGTTCGCATATATTACATACTTGATATAGTGTGTGTATTGTACCTTGAGTGTGTCTTTCCTCGTCAATGAATTCACAGTGGCTGGAAGTGATAGAATTAGCGGGATAGCAACCCTGCCAGTACAAGCAAAACCTTAGCATCACAGTTTAGGAACATTGCCATATGGACTCAGTATTTTTTATTTATTTATTTAGAAAGTCCATCACAGGAAGAATAAACACCCATTATTTCCAGCTTAAGGGTTTTTCCAAGCACCACTAGAAGGGAAGAGCATTTCGTGACAAAATATTCGTGACAAAATATAACACGTCTAATTATGGTGGTCACTATAAAAAAATACTGCATGCTTGAAAATGGGCACCGGGTTAGAATCTGAGATAAGGGAACAAGCATGTTAGATCATCAGGGGGTAGAATCCGAGATAAGGGAACAGGCATGTTCCATCCCAATCATCATAACTTTAAAGCAATCTCTAAATGACAGAAACTTCCCCATCAATCAAACAAACACAGAAAATCATTCCATGAAAGCACTTGCCTATTGTTCTCCAAGCAAGCCAAGGAGTCTACTTGGTTGAAAAAATCTTTCGCATCACCAGGGATCCCAACTCCAAGGAAAAATTTAGCTAATCCCAGTATCTTTTCCCCTGGAAGCTGAAAAATGAAACACAAGAATTAAACCTCTTCTCCTTGAAGTCAAAACATGGACGAGCCTGCAAAATATTACTTACATTTAGGTTTCCAGAAGTCACTGCTGCAAACGATGTTATGCCTGTAACAACAGACCACGTAGATGTAATAGGGCCTTGATTCCCATGAGCGTCACTCTCTTCCCCATCAAAATAAACTGCTCCATCATCTGAAAGCAGAGGTAAATGAGACATTACACTGCACTAAAAGATGACAGCAGAAAGTTGCATTGGGCATCTAATAACTCCAGGAATCAAGACCTAGAAAGCAGTCACACAACCATAGGGTTAATATGAGATGAATATTCAATTAATTTGCAGGATTGCAAACAAGACTACCATTTCCAGTAAAAGAATAAAAGGACATATGAATAAAATAGCATATCAATGGGAATAATGGAAGACAAGTTCTGAATAAAGCTCAGCTGCTGCAAGTGATAGCCTTTGCACATGTTATCATAATGTCCAGATCAGTGATCCAAAGAGAAGTTCTTGCACTCTATGATAATCATTCAGATAGTCACAAATTAAAAAGCCGCGGAAACTATTCAAAGTCATATCCTATCTTTATCCAGGTCACTAATCCCAAGATAAGTTATAGTTACATTGTACAACAATCATTCATCTGACACATTTAACATAATACCCACTGCGCAGAAAATTATTTGAAGTCATTCAAAGACCTTAATGAAAATACGATTTTTCATAACATAGATACTAGATAAACTCCAGCACAACAAACTTCAAGCAAACAGTTAACATACCATACTTCTCAACACGCTCAAAAAGCTTCAGTATATCATTTTTCGTTGTGCCAATCTGCCACAGATTCACAAACACAAGGAGTCAATTCAAGAGCACAGTAACAACTCTGAACCACCAACACCCATTCATTGGAACAATAACTCATCAAATTCACACAAAAAAATAGAATAGAAAAAATGGCATCCTAATGCCTCTCTGCAAAAAGCAATGGAGGTGAAATGCAAAACATTAAAATGACATAAGAGTAAAGCAATGGAGGTGCAATGAAGGTGTAAAAAAATATGTGGCTGGAAATGGTAAGCCATTGAAAGGTGAAGTTTCAAGCAAAGTGTTAGCTAAGCTTGAAGCCATGCCGCGCCAATTGGGAGGGGAGCATACAGTACGCAATACAAGTATCGAACCAGCGAAGATGCACAATCTAGCATGCCAGAACAGTTGACTAAAAAGAAATATGAAACTTCTAGAGCAATGTCAAAGGCTTGCCAGATAATGACACACTGTCCCTTCCTTTGCCACCAATTTAGTAACAAAAATAGGAATGGACCGTTCAGCTAGTAACGGACGAGCTATTTATATATTTCTCTGAGATGGTTAGTTAGGATTCTCTTATACCAGGGACTGATCGATCTCGGAAGATGATAACGAGATCACTCCAGCTAGTGCTTCAAGGGCTGAACCTGATAAAGACATAAGAGGTTAAGAAAAGAGCGAACCAGCATCTGTACAAGATATAGAGTACATTGCACAACAAAATATTTTAGCCAGGTAACAACAAACAACACAATGGTTCACAGCAATAAAACCAGTCAACTAACAGTCTTAAGTAATCCTCAGATGCATATCCACTTTTCTGAGTGTGTATGTGTTTCTTTATCGTGTATGGTTTCATGAGTGTTGTTAATGTATCATTTATGATATCCTCTAGAGACACAACTCACCGCACATAAACTTCCTGGAGTAGTTGGTTTGTGAGTTTTACTGAAACAGTTATCAAAGGGAAGAAACACAATGGCCCAGGACATGTAATGGATAAGCTTGATGATTATATGAAAAAAGAGCAAGTCAAAAAAATTAAAAATAAATTACTTAAAAAATAAATACCTGCAGCATAAGTGCTAGACTCGGGATTACTGGAACTGTATCGCCACCTTCCATCACTCTGACTTAAAGCCTGCAAATGACCAAGACACAATCAAATTTCAATAGAATGTGTCTCAACTCCTACTCGAGAGGGAAAGGAGAGAAATATACGAGAAGAATAGGGGATGTCTACAAACAATGCCCAATTACCCTAGTCACTGGTCAAGGGATTGAGTTCCTATTGTGTCTACGAACCTACAGATAAAGAGAATGACAGTAAGAACAAACCTTGATGGAACGAAATACCCCTTCAGCATCAGCAAGATAAAGATCATCTTTTAAAGCTTGATTCTGCGATAAGATTCATCAGATCAAATACAAGCCACAAGCTTCAGGTCAAGGGCAGATAACAAGAAACAAGGAAATGCTCCATAGCACAACAACATACCAAAAGGAAACCATTGTTGAACACTGCTTACCTTGACAAGTACCAAACCCCCAATTGAATGATAGAATTCGAGCAATGAGCTGGCACTGCCCACCGCAGTTTGAAGTGTGGAAACAATTCCCTTTAAGAGGCAAGACAGGAGATCCATTACACTCGTTCTAAACACAGACAGGCAAAATACAAAACGTTGACACAACAGTTACCTCTACACTGTCTGTATCCACCTCGCACTTCAAAACTCCATTGACTTTCAAAGCATAGAATATATCTTTCAAAGTCGAGGACGATGAAGCCAGGGTCTGCGAAACAGACTGGCAAGCTGCCGTTCCTACATCGGGCTTTCTCTCGACCCCAAGAACGTCAAATGTTTGCAATGCCTCGTACGTTTCTTCTAGGCTGGAAAGACAGGGCCACAATACACACATCATTTCCGTACTAAATTGACAATTCAAATTCAGAACGAAACAGGAATGCTACGAACGAGATTCCAGCTCTCCGATTCGGAAACAAACAGGACGGGAAATAGGTGTCGAGATAGGGTTTAACAACCTGCCATAGGATCTGGCGAAGGTCTCTATTGCGGCAGATCGGTGAGATTCGGAGATGGGCTGGAAGATTGAAGCAGCGGCGGCGAATGAGCAGCAGATCAAAGCCACCGCGACGATCGGAGCCAGAAATCCGGACAGACTTCTGGCCATTCCGGCCACAGGGGTAGAAAAGACGCCGGAGATTTGAGTTAGAGTGGCGATTGCGGATCGGGGAAAGCGTCCGCGTATGCGAAAGTCAGCTTATTGAGGAGCGCGTCTCGACTCGAAAGAAGTGTCTCCTCCACTAGAACTTGGAGATGAGAGAGGTGGTCCGTGTCTCGACTTGGAACTCGGAAGTGTTGTTACTTACAGGGACTGCCGGACTGGAGTAAGCAAAAATGATGCAAAACCCCGTCCTCTTTTTTCCGTTTCCACAATTGCCCATGTTACGTCATTCGAAATACCACTTCTGCCCCAATCTGAACTACCGGCCTTCATTTTTTGTTTACCAATTAGGCAATTACCATACCTCTTTTAGAGCTTCAAACCACAAACAAAGGTCTCTAAGTTAAAAATTATAATAATAATAATAATAATATTATTAAAAGAGTTGAGAGGGAAAGACACACAAGAAGGCTAAGATAAGGTGTTTAGACGAGTCTTTCACACTTGTTCTTTAATGATGATCTAGTCCTCTTTAGTGTGGCTCTTGTAAGCAGGCTGAGTCTTTTTTTTTTCAAGAACATTAGAGTTAACGATAAACAGATTATTTGTGATTAGTTTGGAATCTAGTCTACTCATGACCAAATGTAGGTACCTTATAATGCATGTTCTTCATGGGAGGAATGTCTAAGAATCCCTATAAGTATATTCTTGAAAAAATAAATCCTCTTTTTCCACTTAGAAAGCTAAAACTCTTTCCTTAGCTAAAAGGATTACGCTTGCCACTATAGTGTTAAATGTTCTACCTTGATAAGCCATGCAAAATTATTGCTTCTTTGCTCTGCGTGTGATGCTATCGATCAGAAAATTATGTTATTTGTTTGGGGAGTCTTGTGAGGGGAAGAGAAAAGTACATTTTCTATCTTGGGATGCTATCTGCAAACCTAAGAATCAGGGTAGGTTAGGTTTAAGGTATGCTAGAAGCCTTAACTTGGCTTATATGGTTAAACTGGCAATCTGGCATGGTATCTACTAAACAAGTATGTCCATCATAAGGAGGGCGGGATTAGCTTAATGGAAAGAAGGGGGGGAAAAGACAATCACTCGAATCTCTTGGGTTGTGAAAGCTATGCCTTACATGAAGAAGGCCAACCTGTGAAGTTTTTGAGATGGGGAAACCATTGGATTCAGGACTCGCCGATAGATCTCTTGTGGCATGACCTTGGAAGGACATTCAATTAAGGACCTCATTGAGGAGGAAAGAAAAACTCCAGTCATCAGCTGGGTTGATGAATCAAATGAGTGGGACTAGACTAGAATGAGAACCTACCTTCCCGATGACTTGATTAATGTTATTGCAGGAATACATGCTCCAAGACCAGGGCTTGGCGAGGATGAAATAGTATGGGGATTGAGAGAGATGGTAGGTTCAGACTCATAACTTCTTACTCACTTGTGTCTGATGAGCATGAGGAGCAACTCAAAAACTTTAGTTGTTGCATGATGATCCTTGTTGTCCAACTACATCAATCTCAATTTTAACAATGGTTGATGACTTAGTAGACAGTTATGGGTAAACTTCCTAGTTGCTAAGTTTGAAAAGTTAACTTGCTTTTAAAAGTTCAAGTTTAAGTTGAAAAAGAAACATGATCATTTGCAATACGCCTTAGAACATATACCGGGGGAAATTTATGTTGAACTTGTCTAAAAAGTGCTTGAAGAAGCAAGCATAAGAAGGCAGTGTACTATAGCAGTAATACACTCACTTCACAACAAAATGGACTGACAAAAAGGAAGAACACAACCATAATAAATATGCCAGATGTATGCTAAATGACAAAAAGTACCAACTACTTTATGGCTTGAAGTTGTTGTCCAGACATCCCATGTTTTGAACATAAGCCCTAATGTGGCAAATTAAGGATAAACACAGCAGGAATTATGGACTGGCCATCTTCCATTAGTTTCACATTTTAAGGTGTTTGGTTGTAAAACTTATTATTCTGATCAACATAGAAAGAAGTTTGATGAAAAAAGCACTCCCTACCATTTTTGGTACTCTCTGTTGAATCAAAGGCTTACAAGCTCTATAACTCCAATACCAAAAAGATTGTGGTTATCAGAGATGTTAACCAAGGGAAAAGAATGAAATTCTGAAGCTCAAATTGTTTTGTCAAAGTTATATTGGAAAGGAAGTGAACAGAGTGGTATAAATATAAGGATGAGACATTAGGCTATAAATGACAACACCTAATAAATCAACTTTTAGTCACCAGTCCTCAGCCTGAACCGGTCACAACAACTAATGATAATAAAGTGTTGGATGGAGATAAAGAAGGGCATGATCACTACAAAAAAAAAATAGTTGAAGTGACCATTTAAAATTCAGTCAAATTGTCATTAAAAAGTAGAAAAATGTCACAATAGTGTTGTACTGACGTTTTACACAAATGACACATAAATGTCACATAATCCAGTGTCACTAACTTCTTTTGTGACATTTGTTACAATTGTCAGTACCACTTTTGTGTGACGTTTATTTTACATATTGCGACACTTATAATCGTAGCATAATAACATCTTTTGTGACATTTTAAAGCGTCGTAAGTGATGCAAATAGTGACATTTCTAGAGACATATCAAACTGTTATAGTTAATACCAATAGTGACATGTCTTGTGACATTTCAATATGTCATAGTCCATCTCAATAGTGACATTTAGAAGGACATGTTAATATGTCACGATTGATACAAATAGTGACATTTCTCGAGACATTCATAATTGTCACAGTAGATCCCAATAGTGACATTTCTAAGGACATATTAAAGTGTCATAGTAAATACATATTGTGACATTTCTCAGGACAGTCCAAAGTGTCATGGTTGACACCAATGGTAACATTTACCGCGACATTTCCATATGTTATAGCTCATCTCAATAGTGACATTTTTAAGGACATGTTAATATGTCATGATTGATAAAAATAATGACATTTCTCGAGACATTCCTAATCGTCAAAGGTGATACAATTAGTGACACTTTTTGTGAGATTCCAATATGTCACAGTTGATCCCAATAGTGACATTTCTAATGGCATGTCAATGTGTCATAGTGAATACAAATAGTGACATTTCTCAAGATATTTCAATGTGACATAGTAAATACAAATAGTAATATTTCTCATAACATTCCAAAGTGTCATAGCTGATACCAATAGTGACATTTACTATGACATGTCAAACGTGTCGTGGTTGAAACAAATAGTGACATTTTTTACATCATATGTGATATGAATAGTGACATTTAATGGGACATTCCATAATTTTATAGGTGATACAAATAGTGATATTTGTATGGATATTCAAAAGTGTCATATATGATACAAATAATGATATTTGTTGAGACATTCCAAAATGTCATAGATAGTACAATTAGTAACACTATTGCGACATTTTAAAGTGTAACAACACAAAATTAGATTACCATTATAGTTTTTAATTTAAATTTTTACTCACTGATGGATGGTTCAAATTTGGTTTCATTTGTTGGCCAACATGGAATCAGACAAACTTAACCGAGAGGAACGGGCCAGGCCCAGTTCGAGTGGAGTTGGTGGTGGTTGTGGGCCAAATGGCGGAGCTTCATCCAGAACTTAAGTTGAAACAAGTGGGCCTCAACCCAGAGAATGCCCTAGTGGACTGACCGGTTTAAAAGAATGGATTAGGCTTTTCAACTAGTTACCAAAGCCCAGAGAATGCCCAGAGAATTACCACAAGTGGGCCTCAACCCAGAGAATGCCCTAGTGGACTGACCGATTTAAAAGAATGGATTGGGCTTTTCAACTAGTTACCAAAGCAAAATGACGTTGCAAATGATGTTAACAATTTTAGCAACTTTTTTGTCATCATAATAAGTTGGAAACTAAAAGATGATATCAAAATGTATACTAAAACAATTATTTTATGTAATATTTTAGATTGGCGAGAAAAAAATTAAGGATATTTTCAAGTTATTTTTAATGGTAAATAAAAATTCGTTATAAGACATTTTTATTCCATTAATATTTAAATCAAGAAAAAATTTATAATATATTAAAAAAATAAGCGCATAAAAATATAAAACAATGTCATTAATACAAAATAACATAAACAACTAAAAGCATCCAATAAAAAAACATTAGTCCATACAACCCCAAATCATAGACCTTGAGTCCAGGTTTAATTGTTCACACAAAAATGTGTGATTTCAAAATGTCTTACTAATTAAAATATTGTCTTCCACGTTCTTAAAGTACTCAAAAGTAATAAATCACAAATCAACTCATCAATTTCCTTGCATGTATTTCCGTAACGATCATCAAGTCGAACAGTTTCCTTAACTTCCTTGGTTTCCTCGTGGAGATGTAGCTGCAGCACCTACATTAGAAGTAATATATATTAATATCAATTAAGATTCAATAATATTAACTTCAAATGCAAAACAAGCTTCTAGCTAGTATTTTAAAATACATACCAGTAGAAGTAGTACCATCACCTTGACCATCATCATTGAAGTTGTTGAAAGCCTCCATAAAACTTCAAGGTTGGGAATCTATAAAAAAAATTAAGTTAAAAACAATTTCTACAACTTTCATTTTAAATATTAAAGCTTGCATGAATGTACATGTGAACCACATCTTGGAGAGCCCTTGCATTTTAATATGAATGTTTGCATGATGCATGTGCACACATGAACCATGTTCCCTCAACCTATATAATACTTAAGTTTAATTTGTGGATTTGTAATATTATAACAATTATAATATACCTCTTGGAGAATTGCGGCTGGACCTGCCAACTGAAGAAGTTTGGGAATAATTCCTCCCATTGTCTTCACAACGTTATTGAGCTTAGCCACCTCAGTTTTGAGTCCCTCCTCAGTTTGAGCATTTTCTTGCAGCACTCTATAATTTTCTCGAGAAAAAGTTCCTGGAGTGACACCAGATCTCATACCTCGTACACTGCCATTACGTTCCTTTCCCAACACCTTTCCCAAAGGATCATTCATCAAATCCACAATCTCAATTTCCTCTCCATCAACTTCAGCCTCTTCGTCAATAATATCTTCACCAAGTTCTTCAAGTTGCTTCTACAAAAAATGAAGCACCATAAAGCCTCTTGTTAAACATAATTATAAATATGGAATGAAGTGAAGCAACCATCCATAAATGTAAATTAATTTAATGAAATGGAGAACTCAACTATAATAGCTTCAGCCTTAGGAGTGACAGCACTTTCGTCTTTGCGTTTGTGATATCTCAGAAACAATGCTAGTCTAGAAAGTAGCTTTCCTGTTTCTCTAAACTGATTCATAAATGAAAAAAGTATTCATAATGTATCATACTGTAACATAAACATTATTTGTTTTCATGCAAAGAATTGCACCTCTATCGCTACACGTCGAGCATAAGATATAGAGCCAGATGTATGAGTTAGCTTGTTTTGCTCCCTGCTCTTCTTGTTACGAGAAGACTTTGCCTGAAAAAAATAAGCAATAGGTATGAGTATAATCGGTATAAAAACAGTTCACACTTAGTGGTCTAACCGATATTTGCATGTTAATGAACCGATAACTAATAAGCAACAATATCATAAATAGATACATATAATAATCCATATATTATTCTAAGTCCGAATATATTTTATTTAAAAAGAAAATCAAAGTAATAGAAGCTTTTTATTAAAACCCTCATTTAAGCATTAATTAAATGCAATGAACTTGATAAAAAGCTGGCAAATGGTTAAAAGAAAATATTTTTCAATTGATTTCAAAATAAGGAAAAATACAAAGCTAACTTTTTCTCATGGGATAATTACATTATGGAATTTGAAGATATTGACACGGTGCCTAGGCCTATTACTATTATTTTTCATAAATAAATCCAATATCCACTTACATCCGGAAAATATAAATGGCCTTGTATAAATTAATGGGGAAGTTTGAAAGTTTAATGGAAATCGTGATAAAGAATTGGACAAAAATACTGGCGGATGAAGTGGGAACGAAAAGTATTTAATTCCCCCTATATTTGATTATTTAATAATATTTTTATTGATTTACCTTTTCCCTTCTTTCTATATATGTTCCTAATAACATTTTGGTCTTCAGGAGCCGCGTGTCTCTCCTCTTCCAAGCTTTCCCTTCCTCCGTTGATGCTGCTAGGATAGAAAGACCAGAGAGTGATGACAGGCATGGCTACGTATTATTCATCAGGAGGACAACCTCATTCAGGTATCTACTATTTATTGTAGCTTTTATTCATCTTTGATAGGTGGTTAATGGTCATGCAATACTACGTTGATGCCTTATTTTCTGTAGGAGTATGTAATGATGCTCTATACAAAAAGCTTTGGCATGCATGTGCTGGACCTCTTGTTACCTTTCCAAGGGAAGGAGAAAGAGTGTACTATTTCCCACAGGCCACATGGAACAACTTCAAGTTTCAATGCAAGACAAGGGTTTAGAAGATGATCAAGTGCCTCAACTCGATCTTCCATCTAAGATCCTCTGTAAAGTTGTTTATGTGTGTCGCATGGTTGAACCTGAAACGCATGAAGTTTATGCTCAAATTGATTTGCTTTCAGAGCCAGATCAACCTGATGATGAGTTAACTAGCGATGATACTCTCCCACCTGAACCTCCTACGGGATGCGAAGTCCAGTCCTTCTCCAAGATACTTGCACTTTCTGAAGTTGATTCCCATGGAGGGTTCTCTATTCTTCAAAAATATGTAGATGCTTGTTTTCCTCCGCTGGTTAGTATCCGGAAGATTTTCATCACAATTCTTGTTACAGTATGCATAAATTATCCGGTACTTACTTTATTATTTACCAATTCTGAACCAGTATATGTCCCCGGCCCGGGAGCGACCTTGCCAGCTTTTTGTTGCCAGAGATCTTCATGGCAGTGAATGGCACTTTTGTCACATTTATCGAGGTGAGTTAGTTTGGGAGTTATAAAGACTAGCTGTGAACTCCGCTATGAATTGTGTTGTCTTTTAAAGATCCACGATTTCCCCAATTTTGTTGTACTCTCGAGCTCCCATTTCAGTGGATGTGCTATGAATGGGGATTATCTTAATTAGCTTCTTTTATGTGTAATACTGCCCTAGGGATTATATATTTTATATTCATCTACTTGCTAAATTGTATGATGTTTATTTGGAAACTGGTTGTGGTGCTAATATGAAAATATTGACGATAGGTCAACCCAGGCGTCATTTGATAACCACTGGATGGAGTGAGTTTGCTCACTCAAAAAAATTAGTGGCAGGCGATTCCTTCATCTTCTTAAGGTAATTTTATTGTTCACGATAATCTTGTCGTTGATTCCACTCGGAGTTGGGTCTAACATTCTTGATTTCTTTTGATTTATATGGATTTGAAGGGGAGAAAGTGGGGAGGTTCTTGTGGGGGTTAGGAGGCATATGAGACAACAGCCAAACAGGCCACCTTGTATTGTATCGTCGCAAAATATGCATGTGGGAATTCTTGCCACAGCTGCTCATGCGATTGCAACTGGAACTCCATTTTCTGTCTTCTACAAGCCAAGGTTTGTGCGTTTTGCTTCATTAAATATAGCAACTTTGTGCAATTAATCGGCAAGGTTTGCATTAGGGGTCTGGTGGGATGTATACATGTGTACCGTAGTTATCATGCTCTCTTTTTTTTCCCTTGGGCTTTCCTTCTCCCGTATTCCAACCTGTGTACAACCCCTTAATCCTTCCTTTTCTTCCCCTCCGTCGACTAGTTGGAGATTGGTCGAGTTGGAACTTGGAATCTTCTTCTTTCTAATCTCTTCCGCTTTCTCCCCTACCTCGACGCGTTATACAACATGTGGCCCAACTGTCTCTTTGCCTACTTGCATTTTCCACTTGTTGAATTCATTTTCATTCTCCTAGAATTAGAAGTGAGGCGAATTAGTATTTTGTTTGCAGGACAAGTCGGTTTGAGTTCATTGTAAGGGTTAATAAGTATCTTAAAGCTCGAAACCACAATCTATCCATTGGAACGAGGGTCAACATGAGATTTGATTGTGAGAAAGATCCAAAGCAAAGGTCTAATCTCGTAAGTTTGTTGGATAAAATTTGTATTCTAATTAGTTGTACATGTAACATGTTTTCCTTGTTAAATAAACTACAGTTTCAATGGCATTATTGTCGGTGTGGGAGAAAACTTCTCGTCACAGTGGTACAGTTCTGAATGGAGATCCTTTAAGGTAACGAGCCTTTGTTTTAGTCATTTATCTTTTGACAAATTGAAGATTGTTTGAGGTATCATTTTTTCGATTCTTAACCTTGGTTCTTAGTTTTAACAGAACAGAATTCAAAAACAAATCTTTTTCTCAATGTTTTGCTTGTGTTCTTAAAAGGTCGAATGGGATGATCTGGGTGCAATTTTGCTTCCATATCGAGTGTCTTTTTGGGAAGTGGAGCCAATTGTTGCAACTGCTCCTTCAAATACTCGACCTACAAATTGGACCAACAAGCGGTCACGACCATCATATTTGACTTCATTGAATCCCGACCTTAAGGCCCTTGGTTGGTCATTTCCTTATTTTTACTTTCTCATTTATGTTTGAATTGGCTAGCTAGTGTCAATTACTTTTGCTGTTTTCACCTTAATATGTTAGGCATTTCGAAGACACCTATTGAACCATCTAGTCACGAGCATCTTGATTCATGTGGATCCTTATACCATTCACTTCTTCAAAAATGTCGACTAACTCAGCTGGCTTCACTTCCATCATTTGCAGTTACTACCAAATCATCGATTTCTTGGCCTAAACAACTGGAGGGTGTAGTCGAGTCCATTTCCACAGTAGTTAAGATAATTTCTAGTGACCGGAAACATGACTAAGAGAATGGCTTCAAGCTGTTTGGCATTCAACTTGTTAATAGCTTCAATAGGGAGGAAAGTTCTCCATGTTTAGGCTTTTCAGACTCATAAAGAAGGTTTGCCCAATTCTGTCTTTGAATACTGAGTTCTACTGTCCCTTTCAGTAAGTTCTTATCCTGAGAAATCAAGGTTTTGCCCTGGATTTGCATCGCTTGCAGGTAAGGGCCTGCACAAAGGTTCAAGGAAGTTGAGATGGTGGTAGAGTAGTAGTCTCGTTCTCTCTCTTGTTGGATCAAGGATGCAAGTAACTACCACATCTTGTCCTCTCTTTGTTGGTCAAGACTTTTGTTGGGCATTTTGGGGGGTGTAACTACAATGAAGTAAATGAATGACCTGTAATATTTTGTAATCTCGTAGCAGCCGCCATTGGCATTACGCATGACAGGTTCCTACTTTTGGCATTTGTATTAATGCATATTAGAAATTGAATCATGATTATAATCACCTAGGTATTGGGCAAAAATTTGCACTTGTGTTTGTAACTTGTGGTAAATCCAATCTCTTCCGAAGTATTTTCTTTGAGAGAAAAAGAGACTTGAAGAGAAAATTTATACTTTGGCAGCAGTTGTTTCAAGTTAAGGTATGAATTGAATTCAGCCATTGATAGAAAGCCCAATAGCTCCTTCCTCAAATACACCACATGTATTCGGTTCGTTTCTCCATGCAGTTGGAAATTTTGGTAGCAATTTGGTGTGCAGTTTTATGGCATAACAAGTAGTGATTATCCTTACCCATCATTTTGGTTTCGAACGAGAAAAAATTAGAATATGTGATCGAACCAAAAGTAAATAAAAATGGAGGGTTCAAATCACAAAGAAGCAAGTTTATTAGTTCCGCTTTTGACCGATTCAAATGCAATTTTGATAGAAATTTCTTTCATATTTAAGATAATTTACAGGATCAACAATGAATCAAACTATATAGGGTACCATTCAATTAAATTTTGAGTGGACCGTGAACTAATCAAACAAACAATTTGAATCGAATCAAATAACCTAGATTGTCGTGAATAGGGGGTGAAACAATTACAATCATTTTGATTTTTTTTCCATGGAAAAGAAGATATTAATTATACAAGAAGAATTTGTATCATTTTTATTTTCAATATCATCCTTATCAATTATATAATGATACTTCGCTCGTGACATTTCTCTAAATGTCAGACAAGCAACACTTGTAGATGTCACCGTTAAATGTCACAATCTATATGCTATGCTGACACTTCTCTAAATGTCAGACAAGCAACTAAGTTATTGTGACATTTAGTTATGTGACTAGCTTATATCACAAATACTTCTTTATTTTGACACTTTTTAGTTGACACTTCTCTAAATGACAGAAAAACGTGTTTATTGTTGTGACAATTTAAGATGTCAACATTAAATGTCACAATATATATGCTATGCTGACACTTTGGTCATAACACTTCTCTAAATGTCAGACAAGCAACTAAGCTATTGTGACGTTTGGTTATGTGACCAACTTATGTCAGCAATACTTTAATATTTTGACACTTTTATAGTGACACTTTTCTGACAGAAAAACGTGTTAATTGCCGTGACAATGGAAGATGTCAACGTTAAATGTCACAATATATATGCTATACTAACATTTCACTCGTGACATTTCTCTAAATGTCAGACAAACAACTAAACTACTGTGACAATTAGTTATGTTACCAACTTATGTCACAAATACTTCTCTATTTTGACACTCTTTTAGTGACACTTTTCTAAATGACAGAAAAACATATTTATTACTACGACAATCAAAGATGTCAAAACTAAATGTCACAATAAATATATTATATTGACACTTACCATAAATGTCACAAAAACCTTCAAAGTGAATGGTTTTACTGACATTTTTTGAAACTGTCTTTAAAAAAATGTCACTATAGCTGGTTTTTTTTTTTAGTGTGATACACCTACAACTCTTGTAGTAGATTTGGGTCTCAGGATTATATCAAAATTTGCACATTTGAAGGGTTGTTGTAATTGTCACCATTCATCCTCAAACCTTTGAAAATGCAACAAAATATAAAAAAACGGAAAGCAACAATGCAAGTAGAAATGCAAGCCATAAAGACTTAATATGGACTATCATTGTTCCACTAGAAGAAGTGCAAGTGCAACCAATCTGAAGTGGGTGTTCATAACTAATTTGAAAGAATATGGCTCGATGGATAAGAACAAGGCCAAACTTATAGCAAATGGACTACGCTAAAGTCTTTACACCAGTGGTTAGATGGAATACAATAAGAACACTGCTGGCATTAGTTGTCCACCATGGACTTAATGTATATTGGTTATATGTAAAAAGTGCAATATTACATTGAGAGCTTTCCGGTTTGAAGCAATTGAGAGTCTATAAACTTCACGACCCTCTATAGTTTAAAGCAAGCGTCTAGGTCATGGTACAACAAGATTGAGGCATACATCCTGAAGGCTGAGATTGAGATAAGTACTTATGAGAACACACACTGTATATAAAAAGTCTTGGCAGTCTATCCTAGTGATCAATCTTTATGTGTATCAGTGTATGACTTGATGTATACATGAACAACACGAGTCAGATTGAATAATTCAAGATATCCATGAAAGTTGAGTTTGGGATGAGCAACCTTGAAAAAATGAGATAGTTCATAGAAGTGGAGATCATTAAGAATGATCAAGGTATTTATTTATGTAAGCGAATGTATCTAAAGAAAATCTTGGAAGATTTTGGAATCTCAAATTACACTCTTGTCAAGAATCTTATTGCTCCTAGGATATGATAACTAATGTTGGAGATGGTGTTGCAGTCAAATTAATTGAGTACAAAAAACTCATTGAAAGCTTGATGTATGTGAAAGCAACCAGACCTGACATCTGTACCTAGCTGCTTGTTAAGCAAGTTCATGGATTGTCCAACAAGACAACACTTGCTAGCTACAAAAATAAGTCTAAGATACCTAAAGGAACTATGACTTTATGAGGCCTGCCACCTGAGTGAAGAAAGGAAGTGAGGAATACAACTTAATTCGGTACACTGATAGTGACTATGCATAAGACAAAGATGACAAGAAGAGTAAAAGTGAGTACACCTTCTTCTTGAAAGAATATGATGTTTCATGGGCATCCAAGAAACAATCAGTAGTGAGTAATGACCCTCTCCACTATAGAAGCAAAATTTGTCGTAGTTTCTTATTGTGCAGCTCAATGCGTGCGGTTGAGGTGAATTATGGAGCATATGGGGTGGAGTCAAAGTGTGAAAAGAGCTAAAAAAACATCTCGTGACAACAAGCCAACAATTAAGCATTCAAAGAATCAAGTTCTCCACATCATAAGTAAGCATATATATGTGACTTGTGAGATTCCACTTCCTTTGAGAACTTGCAAATGAGGAAGTAGTTGAGTTTGTGCACTGTGGAACTCAAGAGCAAGTTGGACATGTGATAAAAAGCATTAAAGCTTGAAACATTCTGGCCATTGAGAAGAAAACTTAGTGGTTGAGCATAACGCTTATCGATGCCATTTTCTAATCTGACCCATGCGACCCAACTTGTTTAAGGCGGGTATTACTCAAATCGTAGTGTCGTGAGATGAGGCATGAGTATTGCTTTCGATTTGCCCCACCTCGTCCCGTGCTATCATAATCTATATTAAAATCTATATGTATTTCTCCTCTTCTGACCTTTCCAAAATCACATTTCATTCCAAATAAATTTTAAAACTCTATCCTTCACTATTTAGACTCTATTATTTATTCTACTATCTTTATCATTCATTTATTAAGTAGTTTCTCTATGTGTTCTCGTAAAATAGGTAAATATCAAGGTTTTTTTTCCAAATAAATAAAAGAGTGAGTCGACCGGTCATTGCCCAGTACCCGCATGGGTATTACCCATCCTTGCCCGTGCATAGTACGAGACGAGTATTGTATTGAGGTACCCGTCCTGCGCCATTGTCATCCATATGTCATCCATACTAACTCTATGAAGTTTGAAGGTGATGTGAACTGGAGTTTGCTTCTAGGCTTCGGTTCAAGGGAGGATATGCTTGAACATAGGTCATTCAGAAGAAGGATTTGAATAAAGTAGTCATTCTCTGTTAGCTATGTCGCACTGACGAAGTTTCGGTTTGGTTCCGAGTCAGTCAAGTCCTTGAGTCAAGTTAGGTTAGTTGCTTCAGAAGCAAGTTGCAATACTGTCAGCTGTGTTAGTAGTGTTGGCTATATTTAAGGAACCCATGACCAAGATTGCAGGACAAGATCTTGTATTTAAACTTTATTTTCATAGCAATAAACATTTGTACTAGGCCTCAACACGTTCACACTTTTGGGGTGGATTTCCATAAAATCCAAGCATATAAGTTATTGACTTATTTCTAAGACACTGACTGGTTAGTTATAACAGCAACTGCGAAGGCCAGATCAAGACACGAAGAATGTAACACGCAAAGCTGCAAACCTGCTGAATTTGAAGTTCAAATCAATAGATAATATCATTGGCTTTAAGCATGAACAGAGTCAGAGCTCCAACTATCCATCTTGATAGGGGAATCCAAACCATTTAACACCATGTACCACATTCTGAAAAGCTATTACAGTACCAAACCTACAGGTACATCTGAACAACGATACAAATTGCCAACTGTCGAATCTAGATAGCAAGAGGAAAACCAGTGTGGATCAGATAAACCTTCACCACATCATGTTTAGACAAATAAGGAAACCACCTGCAGATTCAGAACTCAGTACTTCTGAGGAGGTTGCTGTGTGGGCAGCAACCCGAACCGCTTCTTCAGCAGATACCTTTGCCTGGCGTATTTGTCATCAGGAGAAAAGCGAGCTGCAAGTAATAGACAAACTTTCAAACATTTGAAACTGAATCTAAAACTATGTTCAGTGCAGCAGCAGGTTGCAATTACCATAGAATCGCGATACGTAGGCAAACATTTGGATATAATTGCAATTATCTTGTTTAAAAGAAGCAGAAGCAACAAAATGACTACCTAAAGGCTATCGATGTCAAACAAACAACAAGGCCATAATGCTATTTGTATCGTAAAAGACCCCGAGAGCATATTCATCAGCAACAAAATTTCATTTAACAAACCTAAGAGCCATGATGAGCCCCCTGAAGCAAAGAAAGAAGAGCAGAGAGATTTATAGTTTTCCTTTCTCCCCTCCTTATCCCTCTTCACACTTTGCCAAGGGATAGTAGTAAATAGTGGCACAGGTACAGACATTAAATTAGACCCAACTCCAACCTAATTCATAACAGGAAGGCAAAGAAGCATTTACCAGGATGAGCAGACTGCGTCGGCAATCCATGCGGCGATTCTTTCTGCCAAAACAAATTCAATCCCATAGAAATGAGCGGACTTTAACATCCAGAAAACCAAATTGAAAGCAGCAGCTCTTGTTCCAAAGACAGGAGAAAGAAAGAAAGCAAACGCACCTTGGTGGTGTAGACTTTATCACCATTCTCGTTTATGTAGCACTGAAGCAACATCGTGAATCCTCGCTCTCAACCCTAACACAAAATAGCAGCTCCAGAATCACATAAACGCATACGAGTGATGAACCGGACCTTAAGCTAACCGTAGTCGACACCGTCGACGTACTTGCTTAAACCCTAAAATCACACTTTTCCGACAATCGTAAAGAAAAGCGTAGGAAAACAGGAGGAAGGGGCTATACCAGGAAACTTAGACGCAGAAGGAAGGCGACTCCCGGCAAAATCCCAGCAAGTTCACGAAGAAGCTAAATCAAGAAGTTATGGAAGAGTTAGGGTTTTAGCATTTAAACAGGAGGAAAATTGGGCCGATAACGGCCCAGACATAAACTCTGGCCCAAAAGCCTTTAAGGAGAAAAAAAAGACGGAAACGCGTAGCGTAAAATCTTGCCGGAGGAAAACCGGTAATTAAATATTTGTTTTTAACTTTTTATTCATTTTATCAAATCTTCTTCTTCCTTTTGTTCTCTTTGTCACGACTGTTGACCAATCAGCCCCACTCTTCAAACCCACGTCTCAGCGATTCGCCATCTCTCGCTCGGCGAGGATAGAGCACAAAGAGACGAATCCTTCAAATCCGGCCTTCTCTCGCTGCTCCATTTCTGTGTTTGCGCGCGCGCGGTAGAGAGAAGATAAGTAAAGCTTGAACGAGAGAAAATGTCGTTCGAGGAGGACGAAGACTCGTTCGAGCACACCCTGCTGGTGGTCCGGGAGGTGGCGGTGTACAAAATCCCGCCGCGCTCCACCTCCGGGGGTTACAAGTGCGGCGAGTGGCTGCAGTCGGACAAGATCTGGTCGGGCCGGCTCCGGGTCGTTTCGTGCAAGGACCGGTGCGAGATCCGGCTGGAGGATCCGAACTCGGGGGATCTGTTCGCTGCCTGCTTCGTCCCGCCGGGGCAGCGGGAGACGTCGGTGGAGCCGGTGCTGGACTCGTCGCGCTACTTCGTGCTCAAGATCGAGGACGGCGCGGGGAAGCACGCGTTCATCGGGCTGGGCTTCGCAGAGCGGAACGAGGCCTTCGATTTCAACGTGGCCCTCTCCGATCACGAGAAGTACGTCCGGAGGGAGCACGAGAAGGAAGCCGGGGAGACCAGCGCCGACGGTGCCGCCGACGGGATTGACATCCATCCCGCCGTAAATCACCGGCTCAAGGTCAGGGAAATGGGAATTAGGGGAAATGAGAATCAGATTTCGATCGAATTTTTTTTTTCCGCATTTTTTTTAACCTTTTCCGCTTATTTATTGTAAATTGTAATTGTAGGAAGGGGAGACGATTCGGATAAACGTAAAGCCGAAGCCGACTAGTGGAACCGGTATGCTGTCTGCTGCGGGATTAGCCGGCGGGACTACGGCGACCGGGAAGGCTAAAACGTTGAGCCTTGCCCCACCGCCGGTTGCGGCCGGCAAGATTAGGTCGCCGTTGCCGCCTCCACCGAATGACCCGGCGGTTGTTCGTACAAGTACAGCTGGTGGGAGGGCAGCCAAGGACAGTAGCAATACTAGCAACAGGAGCTCTACAGATTCGTTGTCAGATTTTTCACAGCTTGAGGTATGCATGTGCTTCTCTCCCATTTTAGTAGACTACTAAACATTGCTTGAATGAAAGCTCAATTCAAGTTTCTGGTGATCGAATTCGAAATGCCATACACACTCCGTTCTGGGTTCTTGTTAGCCTAATTGCCGGCGGCGTTGTTAGAACCATGGTAAAGGGTTAGGCTAAGCTTACAGAAAGAACCATCCAATGAAACAAAGCCATCGTTCGAATGTTGTTGAATCTGATTGTTGGGGTGCTTTTGTGGCAGAGGAATCTCCCACCAGCGACGAAGGCATCAACAGGAGGAGAAAAGACGAAAACTGCATCAGGATGGGCGGCCTTCTAAGGTTTAGACACATGAATGCTCTGCTGCTGAAGTAAATGGTGGTGATGGTGTCTGTGACTTGGGTTGGTTACCTGTTTATTACTGTGAGAGTGAGTTTTTGATGGTATGATTTCCCCTCCTTTTTTGGGTTCCATTTTAGTGAGAAGAAAGGGCAAACAAAGGGAAAAGAGAGGTGATGATTTGAGAGTTGTGAACCTGCCTTGCCTGTCAAGGAAGGAAACAAGAGAAAAGGGCGGTAAAGTGTAACTAGCTAGTTAATGTTCATCCCATTCCCAAGGCGATGGTCGTGGGGAATAAGTGTTCGATGGAAAAGGGTATGAAATCCATAAGCTCAAGCTTTGGTCTTTCTGGTTAACGATAAGTAGCAACTGTTTTAGTATCTTGTATCTTTACGCTCAAATTTTTGAATTGCCAAAGTGAAGTAGTCTCCGTTATAGAGATACGACGTTTATGTGCTCTACATTGGACTGCCTGCATCGAGCACGAGTCGAGATGTCAACGCTGTGGCTGATTACATTACTTTGCTAAGGCATTCTTTCTCGCTTGCTGAACACATCTTTGATGCCTCAATACTTCGTTATTTTTTAAAAAAGTGGATGTACAATATCAGTTTAGACAGGAAAGCACAAATATTAAAGAGGCCAGTCCAAGTTGCAACTCATACGGTTCACCGTCAAAATCAATGGCATCAATGTAGCAGTGTGTATGAATTTTCTGTACATAACAAATGCCTTTACTGGCAGCCTCAACAAGAGGAACTCGTGACTTTGCATCACGATTTCCTTACAGAGGTTGCCAACCAACAAGAGAGAAAAACGGAGTTCTAACCCTCCAAACTCATCCCTCGTGAACAAAATCTACTACGTTTCCAATTGATGCACAGCAGCATCGCTACCATGGATTTGGAATCATGATTACTCGTTAAACTAGAAGTATTTCCGTCTCTGTCATCAATGTTCAAAAATTTCCAGAGTTGTCGACGCAACCCCCGAACAACACTTTCCAGCATATACAAGGAGCGGACCCTAACCAGGCAAGTACCGTTAGCATACCTTAGGATCTTCCGCAGTGAGAGCAGCATTGGCAGTTAAGGTCCTTGGTCATTCATATTCCGGTTTCAGAACCCATACTTTCCCATTTGGGTCGTCCTTCAGACTTGCTATCTCTTTCAAGAGATTCTTAAACAATGGCAGATTCTTGGATGGTATCCTGTCCTTGAAGTGCTGCACTATGGTCGCAGAATCTGTTCTCCCACCCCTCTGTTGTATGAACGTACAAACCTGACGAATCAATACTTCCGGCTGAACGCTGGATGTTCCACTGCCCCCGGACCTTGTGCTCCTAGTTGAACTGGATGATGCTGATGCATGAAGCCCAGCGGCTCTTTCTTGGGTCCCACGGATTCTAGCAAGCAGCTCGGCTGAAGACAACGCCTTCCCAGTAGCAGATGCCCCAGCTGCTATGCCATTCAGGCTGCTGCTAATTGTCCCATTGGTGCTGCTGGATCCATTGGATGATGACTTCTTGATGATCAATTGAGAGCTGAGGGTAGATCCGAATTTCTGACGGGTCGTGGATTGTGGTGCTCCAGCACATCCTGATTTTCCTGTCCATGTTGGCACTGATATACTTTCACGACTTCGGAGCATCCGCGACTGACGCAATGCCTCTGCTGCTCTTTGTGCAACTTGTGATGCTTGATCCTCTAACCTCACCTTCTCTTCATCAGGCGCATTCACAATAGCATCGTGGTCCAATGCGCTCTGGTGAGCAAGAGAAAGTGGACAAAGTTAACGGTGGTTTAAAAGGTGTACCTTGTAACAAACTAACAACAACAGAAAGCAAGCTACAGTGCTTTCTTTAACTCCATGCCAGATTCGCGCCTCCGGTTGATCAACTTACCAATTAATCAATCAAATAGCTATAAGAAAAACCCGAATTTGCCGATAAACAAGCAACAGAGAGAATGAGGGAAATAAATTTTGTGCTTACATGTATGCCATTAGCATCGAAAAGACTCTTCAAGATATTTGTTTCCTTATCAACTTCACGGTCCTTAAGATCAGAAGCCTCCTCAGTTTTCCCCTTCCTCCTGGAGGGTAGGGCCTCCGAATTATCTCTTTCATCTACAGCATGCCTTCCAATATTTGTGGTGTGTTGATTATGATTGTCCAGCTTTTCCATTTGAGCAGCAACAACATTGACATCTCCAGACAACTGGCTGAAAATGTTAGATGTCTCAGTTGATGCACTGTCACCATCATCACTCAAAATGAACAGATCTTTCATGTCCCGAGCTTTGAAGAATCTCCTTTGCTGAGGGTTCTTCAGTATCTTGTTAGTGAGAAAATGCTTGTAAATCTGTCGGTGGTACACCTTCTCCTCGATAGTCCCACGAGTAATCAACCTATATACAGTAACATCCCTTTTCTGACCAACACGCCATGCTCGTTCCCTAGCCTGTTTCAAGAAGAAGAAAAATCAACCATTCGATAGGGTGCGATACAGGTTATCAGCAGATCATCTCGCCTATTCAGATGGTGAAAACTTAATAGCTCGCATGAAAAGGAAAAATACCTGCATATCATTTGATGGGTTCCAGTCTGGATCAAAAATGATCACCCTGTCTGCACCAGTTAGATTCGTCCCTAACCCACCAACCCTTGTAGTTAAAATAAAAATGAAGATATCATCAGAGTCATTGAATTCGTCTATTAGGGCCATTCTCTGCTTCACAGGAGTAAGACCATCCATTCTCCGGTAGTTGTAACCATGAGAGACCAAGAAAGTTTCAAGGATATCGAGCATTTGCTGAGTCTGAGTGAAAAGAAGAACATGATGACCCTGCTCCTTCCAGACGTTGAGCACCTGGGAAACAACTTTCATTTTCCCACTACGTTCAGGATTTCCATAATCTGGATTCTGATAACAATGCTCTCTCTCAAGTAGATCAGGGTGGTTACATATCTTTCGCATCACATCAATCCCAGCCAAGGAATTCCTACTGCCATTGAGAATTAGTTCAACTTCAGTGCTAGCAAGAAATGCTCTATACACAGATCGCTGCTCCGGTGTAAGGCTACAGAAGAGTACATGTTCCGTCTTATTAGGGAGATGGGCATTGACATCTGCCTTCATACGACGTAGCAGGTAAGGCATGATCAAGTCACGTAGCACCACAGCGCACCTGATCACAAAAAATTTAGGTTTCAACTAATATCCCCATGTCACTAAACTGGGAAAGGTTATGTCACTGAGTTGGAACAAAAGCTTCAATTTGAATAACATATTTTAACAGGCAATTCAATGTGCACCTGTATGCCGTAGATACTTGTAGTGGTGAAGCATTTGCATAACCACCAACGGAGATTGGAACAGCGAATTCTGCTTCGAAGACAGGAAGGACCCCCAACTTACCAGGGAAAACAAAATCAAACAAAGACCACAGTTCACTTAACCTATTCTGAATTGGTGCTCCTGTCATTATTATGCGGTGAACTGTCTGAAGCTGCTTGCAGACTAGAGTGACCTCTGCATTCGGATTTCGAATCCGGTGTCCTTCATCCAGAACAGCATATCCCCATTCAATGTCAAGCAATTTCTCCCCAAGTAGCCGAAGTTGCTCATATGTAGTAATGAGCAACCCAGATTTTGACTTCAAAACTCGGTCTATTAATGACTCCCATTTGCTGCCCTTTTTAGATGCTAAACTCGCATCATTGTCACTTCCAAAAGAAGCATCACTATCGTCATCACTTTCATCAGATTTTGCTCTCTTTTTTCTAGAAGGAAGATGCTGCGCAGAATCATGCAGTAGCTCGACATGAAAACTGGGGCACCACTTGCGTGCCTCTCTTCTCCACTGGCGCAGTAGTGTAACAGGACAAATGACAATGCTTGGCTTGTACATATTACTAAAATGTAATGCTCCAAGGAAAGACAAAACTTGAATTGTTTTGCCAAGACCCATTTCATCTCCAATAATGCCACCCGCTCTCTGGCAATGCAGTTCCCACAGCCATTGCACTCCTACTTTCTGGTAATCGAAAAGCTTGCTAAAAATGGTAATTGGAACTTTTAGTCCGCCTTCAAGTGTTATAAAAGGAGAGTCAGTGCCATCAACATCTTCAGAATCATGTAGCAGCTCTTCTTCATTGCTGGATGTAGCCAGGTCGACCTGTGCATCTTCTTTGAACAAGAAACCGGCAATGTTAAATGACAAAAGTAAAAGTAAGACATAAATTATCAATAAAAATTCTGCAATATTTCAATCAATTGAAAAAAGCACTGCCAGGAATGGAAATCCATTTAACTTCTAAAATACATAATCCCAGTGGCAACACATTTGAAAGCATTGCCACAAATATGTTATGCTGAGAAGTAAAGCATGGACACTAGGAAGAAGCATATTACCTACAGCATACAAAATATTTAGCAGTCACTGGTCATAAGGTTGTCGAAATTCAAAATTTTAAGCAAGTATCCAATGGAACACACCAGCATTATCCAAAGGGAATTCTTCACGTGAAATACGCTTTCTCCATTTCTGGCCAGGCATAGGACGCTTCCTCTTTTGTGAAGCTTTACTTTTATCAGCATCACTTTCCAGGGAGGCAGGAATTCTGAAAGGTTTCTTCAGCCTCTGAAAGGGAAGGGTAGGCGCATCAAGTTTCGGCACTTCTCCATGATCAAGAAGCTTCGTTCTTGGGCGAGCTTTCACAGATTCTGATATTGACTGAGCAGCCCTTAGAATACTGCCAGAGGTAAGATCATCAGCACCTATTTCTTCATTCTCGGATATATTGCACGGTCCTGGCTGTTGCAGCCGCCGTTCAAATCCTTTAAGCTTATGAAAAGGAGTTAAAATTCCCTTTCTGACCAATTCATCCCTTTCCTGACACAAAAGCATGGTATCAAAATTTCAGCTTCTTTATCCTAAAGTGAACATCATAAGCCATCTGATATGAGTTATACCGAGATGATAGATAAATATGCTTACTGTTTCAACAAATCCCCTGGACGCTGCATCCAACGCAGCATCAAAATCAGTATCATCAGCAAATGAAACTGTTCTCTGGCACTTCTCTTTGCGTTTTTTAGTTTCTTTGGGAGTTTTTGGTTTTCTTTCCTGTCTGCACTCCTTCACAAGGTCTTGTAGCAGTTTATCATGCTTACCACCTCTGTCAACATTAATCTGATGTAGATCTGTTAGTTCTTTTTCGATTTGGGCCTTCTTTCTTTTAAGACTTCTTAGTCTATCAGCCGCTAGGGCTTGCTGAAGAGTTGAATCATTTCGAGAAATCCGGGGGTCAGTTCCAAAATCTTCTTTCTCCTCTTGGTCCGTCGTGTCATCATTAGCACAAGCTGAGTCATCTTCACTAACTACCTTCTTTTCTCGTTCAACAGTAGATGCTACAGCATCTATTTCATAGTTAACAGCCCTTAGTGTACTGTAGAGTGTGGCCTGGCTCATGGACAAAGGATTCACATTTTCTGAAATATTATGAGGTTCCTCATCTCTGTTATTACCCCCCTCGGAACTGTTATCACCATGGTTTTCTGCCTGTCATTTAGGAATGAGGAGTTCTCTTATCAGCAAACCACACTTCAACTAAAAAACTAAACGAATAAGTGAATTCATCAACACAGTATAAGCCAAACCTCAACAACCATTGGGAGAAAATAGAAACTTGGATTAGAATCCTCCTCATTTTCAAGAACCCATTAAATTTTATTTCTACAATCATACATATGTACTTGTCCCACCAACATAAAATGCTTGCAAGAAAGTCCAAATTCTCTACCAATGCGTGAAAACAAAGACGACACAAATCAAGAGGGGGGCAAACCTCAGCTAGAACATGCCGTTCGATGTCCTCAGGATTCGCAGATGTGACGCCCAAGCTGCTGAGTAAAAGCTTATCATCATTGTACTCCATGATCACAGATCACATTGCACTACCGCAAAACCATGAAGAGAAGCAGCAGCTAGTAAAGAAACCCAATCTGTCAGACTGTCAGTTCTGTTCCTCAATATGTACATGTATCTGGACTGGAAATTGAATGTGTCTACATATTCACCTCGCCCCATACGCACGTATTTACAGTGAACCCATGAACAAGCTAACTCACTTTTGTACTACTACTACTATCACATTTCAGGCGTCACCAGGGAATGCTAACCATTCCAAAAGTAGAATCAGTGAAATACACAAATTCCGCTTGTTGCGTGATTACGGGGAAATACCAGGGTACACCCAATTGCAGACTTCCGAACCCGAATTATCATTAGAAAGGAAATGAAAGGAAGAAAACGGAGCAAGAACGGATCAATCCAATTTCTTTCAACCGAGGAGAGTTGGCATCGGTAGACATACCTATGATTCTGATTCTTGATTGCGACTGCGCACTCTGAGTTGCAACTACGAGCTCTAACGACTTCTTCAGCTTTCGTCCAATTTACATGAAACGGAATCAGGAAGGAGAGCAAACCTAGAAGAATTCCCCGGAATCTCTCCCGTTCCCGGGTTTTATTCTCTCTCTCCTAATGGTTCTTTTGCTTTCCTCTCTCAAGTCTCAACCGCCCCATCTATATTTTTTTTATTATTATTTCGTGTAATTTGTTTCCCACTTGCCCTTTCAGGTTTGAAATCGTCGCCTTCATTTCTTGTCAAATTAAAACAAAAATAAAATTGTTAAATAGTCGAGACTTCTTTCCCAAGGGTTTATGACTTACGATCGAAACAAGTAGGAAATTCTCTATATTTGGCCCGACTTTTAGAAGTGCTTTTCGACTTCAAAAGTTGAAGCAGGACCAAACATCTGTAAAAGTTCGGTTTTTGAAAAGCCGAAAAGCGCTTTTGTATAACATAAAAACAGAAGCTCCGATTTGGAGCTTTTGCGAAAAGCTCTTTTGAAAATACAAGATTATCCTTACCATATTTTAAAATTATTTCAGAAAATATAATTTTTCTTCATTTATATGATTTTAAAAATAAAATATATTGTTTAATATAAAATAAATCTAACAAGATCCATTTTGACTACTTTTTATTGTTTAGAATTTTTATTCATATTTTATATTATAAGTCCTATATAGTCATTTTACACAACCTCTCATATTAAAAAGCACTTCTAATAAATTTTACAGCCAAACACTGCTTTTTTTTTAAAAGTACTACTCTAAAAGCTCCAGCCAAAAGCTGCTTCTGCAAAAGCTACCGCAGGGGCAAACTAAGCTATTGTCAGTGATACGCTTCAGGCCGCGGGTGCACCTCCACCCTTCATCGAGATCAACATGCAATACATCACTTCCCTCAGTATGCGTGTGCAATGGAATGGTGACCTCTCTGATGCGTTCTCCCCTTCACGAGGATTGAGGTAGAGTTGTCCATTATCCCCGTATTTATTCACTTTATGCATGGAAAGCTTGAGTCATCTTATTTCTGGTTGTGTCACTAACGGGTCTTGGAAGTCGATTCGGCTTACTACACATGGGCCATCTTTGTCACATCTTTTTTCGCAGATGACTTGATCATATTTGGCGAGGCATCCTCGACTCAGGTCACAACCATCTCTCATTGTTTTGAGACCTTCAGCCTTGCCTCTGGCCAACAAATCACCAAACCCAAGTCTTGGGTATTTTTCTCAAAGAATGTTACACATGCTTGTAGCTCAGAGTTAAGTGCGGCCCTGGATATCCCAACGACGATGAACCTTAGACACTACCTCGGAGTTCATGTTATCCACGACATGATATCAAAGGGGACATACGTGGACTTCATCGACAGGATCGATACCCGCCTGGCTGGTTGGAAGGCGAATACCATATCGTTAGCTGCGATGATCACTCTTGTGCAATTAGTACTTGCTTCTCTTCCTGCTTATACCATGCAGACAAGTTACCTCCCAGCTAGGGTTAGAGACTACATCGATAGGAAAACTCGAGCCTTCATCTAGGGAAGCACAAAATCAGGCCGAAAGATCCACCAAGTCGATTAGGAGACCATCTGCCAGTCAATTGATGAAGGCGGGCTAGAGCTATGGTCGGTTACAAGGACCAATGAAGCTTTTATGTTGAAGCTAGCTTGGTGCTTACTAACCGAGCTCGAGGCACTTTGGGCTCGAGTTGTTCGTGCCAAATATTTGCAGGAGACAGTGGAGGGTTTGCAGCCACGGACTTCGGGACACATTTCTAATTTGTGGTGGGGAATTATGAGGATCTGGCACTTGCTATTGGCTGCCACCATATGGAACATTCAGATTGATCGACAAACCCGGTTTTGGACCGATAGACGACTGCTGGATGGACCTACCCTTGCGGAGCTTGCTGTCATCCTACCGCCAGAGGCTTAAACCTTGACTGTGGCGGAGATGGTGTTGAATGGCAAGTGGAATGTGAACTATCTAAATGCTTTCTTACCCAATGCTATTGGCTCGCAGGTCTTGCTCCATCTGGTCCCCCACGAGGAAGGTCCCGACATTAGGGTGTGGAGGCTTTCGCCATCAACAAAATTCTCCATGCGCACTGCCTATGATCTTACTTCGGAGGACGAGGAACCTTCGGCGATGCATCCCATGTGGCGTGCGATTTGGCATACTCCAACGACCAGACGCGTTCAAGCCTTCCTCTGGGTCGCTAATCAAGGTCGTTTTCTCACCAATGCAGAGCGACATAGACAACATCTTACAACGACACCGACATGTCTTGTGTGTGGAGATGGTGCCGAAACCGTGACCCATGTCCTTCAAGACTGCCCATATGCTAGAGGTGTGTGGGCAGATTTCTTGGAACAAAAACCAGACCATGAGTTCTTTCAGGCTGACCCATTTCATTGGTTCCTTCACTACATGTATGAACGTGGCCAGTCCATCGACGCTACTCTCTTTGCAGTCACATGCTGGCTACTATGGAAAAACCAGAATAATCACTAGTTTGAAGGCAAGATTGAGACCATTACGCACACCCAGTTTCGTGCTAAGCAACTCAAGCATAACACTATCTCGGCCTTCAAGAATGAGAGTCACATGTTCAGGGATGGGCGAACTAAAGAAAGGAGTTTAATCAGATGTGAGTTACCTCAGATTGGTTGGACAACCATCAACATAGATGGTTTTGTCATTTACTCTCCTACGAGCATGGCAGCAGGCGGCGTCGTGAGGGGCAACGATGGTCGTTTTATTCATGCTTTTTCGTTGAACCTTGGAGGGGGTTCAATTACCTGTGCAAAGCTGGCTGGGATTGCGTACGGTCTCAAGATTGCTTGGGAACCGGGGTTTATGAAGGTGATTCTACAGTTAGACTCGTAGACTGCCATTCAGCCAATTCAGTCGGTACAACCAAACCACCCACATTTTGTTGTTGTGAGGGAGATTAAACACTTGATATCTTTGCCATGGCAGGTCCGTATTGCGCATATTTTTAGGGAAGCAAGCTTTGTAGCTGACTACCTAGCTTCCCTCGGTCACACTTTTTCTTTGGGAGTCCATTCATTTCTGACTCCCTGTTACCCCATGAATTACTGGTTGTACATTGATTTGATTGGGGGTGACAACTCCTTGTTTTTATTAATGTGAAGGGTTGGGGCACCCCTGAAGCGCTCTGATTTCAACCAAAAAAAAAAAAAAGGAAAAGATTGGCCGAGCCTAAACCAAACCTAACTCATTGGGCGAACAAGACAGCCATAAAAGTGCCAAGCTTGTAAAGGTTGTCATGCTTGAAAACAAGGTATCAAAGAGCTAGGGCTGGATTTCGGTCGGTTTCGGTTTAACCGATAATCAAAATCTCAATTTTTGGTTAACCAAACTGCATTTCAGGCTATCGAACACCAACTGAGCTATTGCTCCAGTTAAACGCGGCACCGACCGGTCGGTTAATGGTTAAAACCTTGATTAATCTGCTAACCAAAATAATTTATTATTTATTTAATTACATGAAAAATGAAAAAATAAAAACGAAAAGGGAGGAACAGTACGACTCTGACTCTTCATCTCTCCCCATCCCTTCATCCCTCCCGCCGCACTCACCAATCCTGTCGCCATTACCAAGAAGGAGGGGAAGGAGGAAGGATGGTGGCGGCTACTCTTCATCTCCTCTGACCGATCCTCCCACAACTCGCTACAATCCTCCCGCCGCACCCACCAGTCCCTAGATCTAGAATCTCGAAACTAGAATCGACCTAGAAATATGGCTGCATGGCTTCATCTCCAGACCAGATCGAAGAGATCTGGCTCTTCCCTCCATCAATCGCCACCAGAGTAGTCTGGAGAAGACATGAGCACCTGAGTTTTTTTGAGTTCTAGGTTTTTGTTCTTGGGGGTGGGGCAAGGAAAAGAAGAGGAAGGGGGCGACCGACGGAGCATATGAGCAGTGGAGCAGAGATCCGGGGTCGACGGGGCGAGTGGAGAGGAGGGGCAGAGCGGCGGGTCGAGCAAAGGAGAGGACTGGCGGGGAGGATGATGGGGTCGTCGGGGAGGGGAGATGGTCTCGGCGAGCCGGCAAGGGGAAGCTTGGTGGATGGTGGTTGGCGGTCGGCGAAGAATCAAAGGGGGAGGGGGGTTGCTGGTGGCTGGCTGGGGTAAGGGGTTTGGTCTTTTGGAAAAAGGGGGTTGGAGGAGGACGAAGATAGGGACATAGGATTGGGGATCGGGGTCGTTTTTGGGGATTAGGGTGGGACGAGGTCGTTTTGGTGAAGGTGGGTGTCTGGCCGGTTACTTTTGGTTAATCGAAACTCGATTACCCGGTTAACCGAAAATAACCTTACTGCTACCGACAACCGACCATGACAATTAACCATCGGTTTCGATAAGCTTTTAACCGACCAGTTATTAGTTAAACTAGTCGGTTAACCGCTACCCGAAAATCGATATGCCACCCCTACAAAGCGCCAAGCAAGTCATCAAGCTTTCCTCAAGCTGTCAAGCACCTCGAGAGTTGTAGTCTTGCAGAGACGCAACGAAGAGAGGTTTCAGGGAAGGAAATGAGATCCAACCATCAAGCCATGTTAGCCACGACCAAGTAGTGTAAAGGAACGTGGAAACAAGCTCAACATGGTGATTATCTCATTAGCTACTCTAGTTTGTGATTATAAACAGAGGAGCGGTCTATAGAGATAATAAATAACCAAAATTATAAATTTGCGCATGAAATTTGGTGTGCAACCTTTGGAATGCTACTTGGAGAATTATTTTTTGTGGATCAATCAGCACCCTAGTTGCATTCTACCACTCACCTATTTAGCTCGAAGATAATGTGGAGTGGGTGATGCACAAAAATCTAAAAGCGTATAGGAAGTTGTATCAGTGATGGGGTATTTTGTGTTGCCAATGTGGTTCAACTGTCTCATACCGTTAAAATTGTCAGTCAATTTAGATTCTGGTAGGCGGTTTTCTCATTGAACTGCATGTAGGATAAGATTTTATAAACACCAGTGGTGGCTGGTGAGTAATACCGTTATTAAGTAGTATAAGATCAATTGGTTATTGACATGGTGTCAGAGCCTTTTATGACAAAAATTTGTGTTTGAATCCATATGACCTCCAATTGTTAAGCAGATGGTATTCAAATATGTTCAAACTTCAAACTCATATAAGTTGGCTTTCATTTGAGAAAACTTGTTAGTAAATGATACCATATTCATAATAATATTTTTTTCTATAACTCGGATTATTGGAAACAACTCCTTTTTATAAATTATTATATCAATTTGTTAGTAAGTGCTAAGACCAGAACACAAAATACTAGTACCGAAACCAATACAGAACGATACAAGCAACAGTGGTAAAAAAACCATGCCAATCGGCTTTTAGAGGTTGAGCCTATGAATCACGGTATTCAGATCGGTTTTAATCATTCCAAAAATCCCAAAATATTTCCACACAAATTTTCAACGTAAAAAAAGTCTTATTGAGAGAAAGTAACAAGAAGAAAAAAATGAAAATCAAGCAGATCTCCTCCTCTTCAACATAACCCTAATCAACACTTACTCCATCCTTTTCTTTCCTCCTCTAAAGAGATACTTAACTCACTTCTCCAAATAGAGACTCAACTCTCTTTATGACTGCGGAACAAACGAACAAAAGGTAACGTTTGCACTTTGCAATTTTTTTTAGTTAGGATTAATTTTTAGATTCATAGTGAAGTTGTGAATTTATTCTATGTGTCTTTTGTGCCTTGGTTTTTCGTGTTCAGTTAGCTAGTGGTTAAATCATTGTTATCCTGTGTAATTCCAATATTTTACGATATGCTAGCTATTATATTTTGTATTTAAAATATTTTACCAATATAAAACGATTGAACCACAAACATTGATCACTTCGATCCGTGCAGATTATTGTTAGTAATTAGCACGTGTCATCTTAAACCAAGTTTAACCTAAGAAGACATTGTCGTATAGTGGTAATCAAGTTCGTATTTTACTCGGGTCCTGGTACCCTAGCCTACTTCCCACCTAGTTGCTTATTAGTTAATCGGTTTTGAAGGGTTGAGTGGAGGATTTGAGGAGATAACTAGACTAGGGATTGATCAAAGCTAAAAGTACGTACTTCGAGAAACTAATCCTCCCTCTAGCTTAGGGTTACTACTTATATACAGATACTTAGGGTTATCGAATGTGGTGAGCGAGCTCTTTTCCGTGGGCTTTCGTGGTTATCCACATGCCGAGCATGCCTCCCCTAAACCCATATATAGTCACCTCGATCTAGGCTGTCGTATATGGGGCATTAAGTTTATGGGTTATGGCTCATTTCAATGGAAACTATCCACCGTCCACACCGAGGTTTTATCCCGGGTTCTATTTAGGAATGCTAACCTACAGCAGGTGTTCGGTCGCCTCGACCATCCTAGGTCCCTATTCATACATCTATCAATATTTTCTTTATGGTGCATACCCGTCTAAGCCTAGAACTCCAAACCCAACGTAAAAGCATAAAGTAGGATGATAGAGAAGATTGGGGCACCCTACCATAAACACAATCCATGATAGAATAACAATAAAATCAACTAGATAAACACATTCATTCATTCAAACCCTAAAATATCCATACATACATAACAAATCCTAAATCTAGGGTTGGGGTTTAGAACCCCTAGTCTCCACAAAGGAGGTAAGAAGAAACATAGAAGAAATTGAAGAAGACTTGGGTTGAGGATGATGCTCCCTCTCTTCAAGCTCCTTCTCCTTCCTTCTCCTTCTCTCTCTTCTCTCTCTCTAAAACCAAAAATTTCTCTCAAAATCAACTCTCTTAAAAGGGGAAAAGGGGTCTTCTATTTATAGGCCTTCTGGGGACAGAGAAGTTGGTGGTCAAGGGTGAGGAGATCGCATACGGAATATTCTAAGGAGAGGCTGCGATCTCAAAACACAGACGTGTTGCCCTTCGGGAAGGGGAAGATTGCAGGCTGACTTCGCGATCGCGGTCCACTAGTCGGGGTTGTGATCTTCCTCACGGTCTGGGAACACTGTGGCCATGATTTGACTAGTAAAACTCTCTGTTTCTCCCTGCCTCCTTCCTCGCGAAGTTCGCGCCTTGAGCTCTCCAATTTGTGGCTTTGATTTTGGGCTTCCAGACCGTGATCTTCAGCTTGACTTCATGGGATGTGTTCCCGGTCGTGATCTTCAGCTTCCAGGCCACGATCTTTAGCTTCTTGTCCCCTTGCTACACTTGTGACCTTGTTTTGTATCTAATTCGCAAATATCATCTAATACACCCTAAAATTATAACAAATTCAAATAGGAACGAAATAGAGATGCAATCGACGATTTTTGAGCATTTCTGCACATGAATTGGCACGAAACAAACCTTCATATGAAGGGAAAATAACACCAATTTAGGTGTTATCAAACTCCCCCACACTTAGGCATTTGCTTGTCCCCAAGCAAACCTACTTCAACCTAATGCAACATGATAGACAAATCAATGGGGAATGCATCCTAGTTCTTCATTGCATAAAGAAGAGTAGACGGAGATGGATGAAATGTTACTATCACCTTACTGTGCAAGCACAAACTCTCAGGTGATGACCATACCTACTACCTTATGTCGAACATTCAAGGTGTGCCCGAGCACCACTTCCCATCCTGCACTCCACATTGGGTTGCCACACATGTCGGGTACAAACGATAGCTATGAGGTCTCATGAATCTCTCAAAGGTACTTTGAACCTTGGCATATGATTCCGTGAGGAGGAAAGATACTTGGGGGATGCTAAGTAGTGAAAGATGGTCGGGACACGGTAATGCTATTTGATCCCTAAGCATATCCTCAAAGGGCACTCCGAATCCGTGAGGATTGGTTGCCTCCCACGTGAGCCTCATTTTCAAAAGATGTTTCACTCTTTTCTTTCTTTTCTAATATGCACAAACTTGTAAAAGCTTTGAGTTCACTAGACACAAAAGAGAATCTCGCAAACATGTTCTTCCTAAAGTAGCACATATTATCGACTCACAAAAGAGGAAGACGGTAGTAAAATTACCCACACACTGATACTATAATCATGCAACTACCACCTAGCGAGCACACCACATCAATTATCTAACAAATCAAAGCATATTGAGTAGGGAGGTGGGAGGAACAAGGTGTTTTGTAACCCTCAAATTTGAATTTTTTTGGGTAATAGCATTCAAGGTTCCAAAACACTATCATTTGACCATTGATCACCACAACACAAACACGATTGCTAGCACACACTCCCATAAGTATTCATCAACGTCTTACATTCATAAACAAGGGAGGATACTAACAATCTATGGTTCAACCAATCATGATATTCATTCAAACATTTACACACATCCCCCCCCCCCCCCCCCCACACACACACACTTGAGCAACACATTGTCCTCAATGTGGAAGTTTCATAATAGAAGATCGTATGGGTTACCATAGGTTTTGGTTGTGGGTTGGTGAAGGTACACAAGTGTAGGTCTTTGTCTTCCTGGTGGTTTTCACAATGATAAGGCGCATAAGATAGAGAGGAAGACGATTAAGATTTATAGGTACGATAGATAAATAATATAAGTACGAATACTACTAGTACTAGAATATTTAAAGTACGAAAAGTAAACAAAAAAAAAGTGATAATTAAACATTTTTTAATTAAAATAAAGGAAAGAAAAATAGAGATAGAAATCGGCCCCTAGACGCCAATTTGTCTTTGATGCACGGTTGGCGTATATTGCAGTTGCACATCCAAGGCTCTTTCTTGTAAGGATGGTCCATCATAGTTCGTAGTCGCCTCCATTGGTTGATTTTTTGTGCATGATGTGGTTGCTCCTCGCTTTGAGGTTATGGTTCTTCTCTTGGAGTTTGTGGTTCTTATCAGAATGGGTGGTTCCGATTCCTTCGTTGTTGAGGGCTAAGAGAACTAGCACTCTCACCCTCAGTTGGATCGCCATTAGAAAAGAGAAATCACAAAACATGTTCAATAAAATAATTAGGCAAATCACTAGATCAATTGAACAACTAAATTCGTCCTTAGTTTCACTCTATACACCCTACCTCAAGAGTTATAAAGTAGAAAGTAGAGGTGCATAGATAGAAATGCATGTTGTAATGACTAGGGTCGAGGTCTAGATGCATGAAAACAA